AAAAAAAAAAAAAAAAAAAGAAAAGGCATCCAGAGAGTGACCTCAGAGTTATGGGAGAAGGTTTTTGAGCAGAGAAACATGGAAGAGCCATGGCAGCTGTTGGGGAGCTGAGCAGCAAGCAGTGTGCACAGCAGGGCACTGTGGCCAGAGGAGGCCGGGCAGACAAGCTCAAGGGCCCTCCATTCAGTGAGGCATCTGTCCAGGGTCTACCATGTGCTGGGCACCAGACTGGGTCTCAGAAGAGATGCTAAGACTACTGTTCTTGATCCTGGAAGAAGTGAAGCAAGTCCCCACCATGGAGCCCTGCCTGCCCTGCTGCTGTGGGCAGGGGGCCAGAGGAGCAGTGAGGGCCAGCAGTGAGGCTCTGCAGTCTAGAGATAACAGGGTCCAGCAGCTGATTGGATGTGGCCAGAGAGAATGAAGTACAAGGACAACCCTGGGGTGGGGACCAACAGCAGAGCTGCTGGAAACTGTTCCCATCCCTGGCCAGGAATGAGGGACCAACACCGCATACCTGTGAAGAAGGACCAAGAGTCCTAGGGGTGTCAACCTCGGTGGCCAGAACACCCATCACAAGGTCACACGGTGCCCTGACTCCACCTGCCAACAGTGGGGTGGAAACTGGCTGTGGCAGTCACCCGCTCCCTGGCTTGTGAGCTTCTTTAGGACTCCAGAAAGATCCCTGAATCAAACTATGGAAGCGACCAGTAGGCGGACAGGTTCGGTGTGTGACAGAGCACTCCGCTGGCAGCAATCACATTAATTTCCCTTCAAATGGATTTCCTGCCGGTCACACACCTGTCATTTCCCTTCCATGCACCTGGTGGGGGAAAGTATGGCGAGAAGGACTGGAGACCAGGTGCGGCCAAGCATGTGAGTGTCCACGCTCGGCCCAAAGGGAAATCCAGCCCAGCTGACCCCCGGGACTCACTGCACACCTAAGAAAGCGTCTCTTAGGAGGAAAGGAGCCCGCAGGGTCCTCACGGACTCGCGTCTTTAATGCACTGAAAAGAGCAGGGAGCACTGGTGCCTTCGGTGTGCATCGCACCTCTGCTACAGAAGATGCCGGGGGCCTTGGGGCAGCTCACTGCCAACCGCTGCAGTCTAACCGGACGCCTTAATGCTTCTGACGAGGCCGCCTCTTTTAAAAAGAAAGAGAAACAACATATCATTAGAGGAAGATTTCTTGGAAGTGCAGCGTGGACTGGATGCGAGCCACCCCAGGACCTGCCGCAGGTGGGACCCAGAAGGGCAGCCGCCACGCACGCGCTCCGCCGTGGCCCAGCTGGGGCGCCTTGAGATGCGGCCGCCACCCGCTTCAAACATGGCGGCCACAGACGCGCCGAGGAAGTGCCAGTCTCAAACATGGCCTCGAAGTACGCTCGACTTCCGGCTCCCGCCTCCCGCCTCCAGGTCCGAATCCTCCGAGCTGCGCCCCGCCCGCTTACGTGAAGACCCAAGTTGTTAGGTCACGTGCCGCGGACGCCGAGCCGCGATTGGCCAGCTCCGTGGAGACGTCAGACGCCGTACCGACGCGGGTCGAGGGGCGCGGGGTTGGCGCTCTGTGGAGGAGCGGCTGGCGGGGCGCGGGAGCTGCGGCGCCGCTCACACTCATGAGGAGCAGGAAGGTGAGGGGCGGGCCGCGGGGGGGCGAGGGGCGGCCTCCGCCTGGCCTCGCCCCCCCGGGGGCGGGGGCTCCGGCCCCCTGCGGTGCCCCGAGTCCCGGGCCGCCTGCCGCCGCCCGGGGGCGGGAGTTCGGCACGTGACCGGCCGGCCCGGGGCTGAGCGCCGGAGGGCTGCTCGGCCACCGAGCGCTGCGGTTGCGGCTCCTGCGAGTCGCGGGGCTGGGGCGTCCGCGCCGTCTCGTCTTCTCCGCCCGAGGTCGTTCCCCAGCCCGCGGCGGCCCGCTCCGCCGCCTCCTGTGTCGGGTCGGGAACTGGACGCGAGTCGACCGCCGGGTCCTGCGGTGGCCGCGTCCCGGTGCACACCGCTCGCCCTTGCCGCCGAGAGGGAAGGAGGCGATGTGCATGTAAAACTTCCAAGGACGCGACCACTGGCCGGCCCGCTGCGGTCCTTTGTGGCCTGGGCGTTGAACCCGGGGGTGATCTACCTCCGAGCCACATCCCCAGCCTTTTTTTTTTTTTTTTTTTTTTTTTTGGAGGCAGAGTCTTGCTGATTTGCTGAGGCTGCCCACGAACTTGTGATCCTCTTGCCTCAGCCTCCTGAGTAACTGGATGACAGGCGTGGCCAGTGGGCCCCACTGGCCCCGTTTTCTTTGGATTTAAATTGCTGTCTGGGGTCACTGGCTCCAACCTGAAGAACTCTCTGTATTTCTTGTAACGTGAAGCTGCTGGCAACGAATCTCAGCTTTGTGGCTGGAGGTCTGTGCCCTGCCTTCATCTCAAAGGGCAGCTTGGCTGGGTTAGGGTTCTTGGTGGGCAGTCTTCTTCAGGTACCTTGAAGGTGTTTGATGCTCTCCCGTGGCCTCCACGGCTCCCTTCCCATGGGCATTGGTCTGCTGCTGTTTCCAGAGTTTGTCCTTATCTAGGAGTTTCGGGACTGCCACTGATGTGTCTGGATTTACCCCACTTACCTTGGCATTTACACCACTTGAAGTTTGGTTCGTTGACATTCCTGGATGTGTAGATTGGGAACTGTTCACTCCCTATTCCTTGGAACTTTTCTCCTTTCCTTTCTTTCTGTTGTTCCATTACACATGTTGGTGTGCGTGATGCACTCAGTGTTTTTGAGGCTCCCTCCCTTTTCCATTTGATTTACATGATGTACCAATCTTCAGTTCGTGGCTGCTGTTGAGAGCCCTTCCCTGTAGTTTTAAACTCTAGAGTTTCCACTTGGGAACACACACACACACACACTCCCACACTCCCCCTCCCCCTCCCCCCACAGTCTCTTGTGATGTGACACTGTCATCTCGCTCCTCTTTATTCACTGACAGGGTGGGGACATGGACTTGTCTGGGCTGAGTGGTAGTTTTGTCCCTGAGAGAGGTGCACAGCAGCTCTTGGCAGTGTCACATTCAGTGACAGAACTGCTGCTGCAGGGCTCTTCCCACCAAGCCCTGTGCTGTGAGGTGACATAAGCCTGGCCCCGGCAACCATGCAACAGCCCCTGACCCTGGCCAGGAGCCCCTTGCTTGTACTGCCTGTAGCAGGGGCGCCCCCTCCTTTCTCAGGTTGCGGCCCCAACACTTTTTCAAATGCTCTGTCTCCAGCTGGGCAGAGTCTATGGCAGGGCTGGAAGGTGGATGTGGAGACTTGCTACCCTATGCTGGCTTGTTCCTTTTCTGTTTTTCCATCTGCTGTTGAGCAGAGCACCTGCATCTGGCACCTCATGGATTTCCAGTTCTAGGGCCCATTGTGGCAACAGCTTCTGAGTTTGTAATTTCTACCTTAATTCCTCACTTCTGTTTATTGCTTCTCTTTATTACTCATTTTTATACTCTTCAATTTTTAAGGTGAACTTTGAAACTTATTTTCTAAGTGTAGTGTAATATCCTGGACTGGATTCTAGAACAGAATAAAAAAGTATTCATGGAAAGACAAGAGGAAATACAAATATCATCCAAAGTTCACAGTATAGAATCAATGCTAAGTTTTAGTGTTGCTCTGTTGTTTTTGCTACTTTTCTGAAAACCTAAAATTATTCTTAAATAAGGTTATTTTAAATGTTAAGGCTTTTTTTTATTAGAAGCCTTTCCTTTGTCTTTAGAATAAGAGAAGTAGACAGCAGCTGACAGTAGGATCTGGAAGAAGCTACCTGCTTAAAGCTGGAGTTAGGACTGCCATTTAGGGAAGGAGGGGAGGCCAGCAACTCGCCTTCGTTTTCATTTACCTTTTGTCAAGAACTTGACACATCAAAGATTGAGAGCCTTTGAGGAAGGATATGTGCTGCTTACTCTAGACACTTGGAGATGATTTTGAGTCCATTAACATACACATGGTCCTACAAACATACACAGTGAGGGGACAGATTGTCCCAAGCCCCCAAAATCATGCACAGCAGATCCTGTATCTAAACCCAAGCTTAGCTGTTTGTGCATATTCAGGCCACAGCTGCCTTCCTATGAAGGTGGTAAGAGCCTGGGGGGGTTCTCTAGTTGGGAGACTTCAGCTGCACGCTCATGTTTTTTCCTGGGAGCATCCTCTGACTGAGCCTCCATCTGGTCTAGCTCACAGGTGGAGTGCGATCTTCAGCGCGCCTACGAGCCCGAAGTTGCTCTGGAGCCAGCTTGGCCCCTGCCCAGGATGTCACTGGCTCCACGTCTGCCAAAACAGCATGTCTGGTGAGCTCTGTTGCCATGAAGAATACCAAGGTCTAAATATTGAGTTATCACTGCAAGACGCTAATGTAGCTCAGATCCCAGGGCCCATCGGAGGAGAGCCTGGTGCTACTGACTTTGCTTTCAGGAGGCTGTGCTGTGCAGTCCATAGTGGCTTTCCTGGCGTTTGCCACCAGGATGATTATGTGTGTCAGAGACCTGGGCTCCAAGACACGATTGTTCACTCTGAAGGTGGCCTGTCCAAGTGATGAGGGTGCATTGTCACACTGCTTCACCCCAAACCACGAGAGGAAGGCTCAGGGGGCTAGGAAAGGACCCTCTGATAGTCTTGAGCTGTTGTCTCCAAGGAGTCCCTGGCCCACTGGTCAGCTGGTGCTGTCTCTTGCTCAGCTGCTTGTAAAAGTCTTGAAGTCCATGTAGCAACCTCTGCTGAGCACCTCCCACACACCAGGCTTGGGAGAATAATACAAAAACTAGTAGAGCTTCCATTTAGTAGGAATGAATGGAGACTGGATCCTCTTATTGTAATTTCATAACAAAAGTAAACATATGCTTCAGGAAACACCCCCCCCCCCCCCCAGGGAAAACCGAAAGCAATGGAGTAATGACAAGGTTTGTGTCTAGACTCATCCTCGGCCATTAGTGTGTATTCTGTCCCTCCAGTGGTGACACAAGGTGACGAGAGTTATGTTGTCTCAGGTGAGAAGAAACAGGAGCCTCTGGGATCGAGGCCTGTGGTTGCTAGATGTGTCTAGTTTCCCCTTCATGTTCTTCTTTCTTGGCAGACTTCCTCATCCCACAAGGCTGCAGACAGGCGGACTTCCAAGAAGTTCAAGTGTGACAGAAGTCATCTTTTGAAGGTTGAATTACAGAAACTAGTCCCTAAAAGTGACAGTGCTTCTTTGCCAAAAGTGGCACCCAAGGTCCCTTGTGAAAATGAGTTTGCAGAAGACAGTATGTTGCTCCTAGGCCGTGAGGCTGGTGTTGCTACACAGCAGGAGGCTGCAGCGCCTCCCCACAGCCCTTGCAAAGCTGCCAGTGACCCTTGCTCAGCAAAGACTGAAGATGGTCTGTCTACGCAGGAACCTAGCGCAGGGGCAGGGGGAGAGGAGTCAAATGGTTGTTCTGTGGGGCAGGACCAGGTGGCGCTGGAAAGAGAGGATGTGCGGAAGCCACTGTTTCAGATGGACAACAGCGTCTTTCTAGACGATGACAGCAACCAGCCCATGCCAGTGAGCCGATTTTTTGGAAATGTTGAACTCATGCAGGTAAGAGTGGCACATCCCCCTCCCTTGCTGCATCTGAGGCCTGCAAGCATGCCTCGCCACAAAGTTAATACACTTTAATAATTTTAGTGCAAGAGAAAAAAATAAGGGTTAGCTAATCAGGGCACTCCCTCCAGCTCCCAGGCTCAGAATCCTGCCATTGAGAAAGGCGGGCACCTTCCAGGTGCACCAGCACCCCGCACCACTGTGGTTTCCTGAATCTGTCTGCCCCTCTCTTGCCTGAACCAGAGTCCTCCTTACCGAGGGATGGGTGCTTGGATCTCCTCATTTCCATGTCTAACAGGGAGGCCCACTCTGCCAGACCAGAGCTAACCAAGGTGAACTGTGCGTGCAGGTGCTCTCATTGTGTCATTTGGGACTGAAGTCCGTGTTTTCTTCCCTCTAAGGACCTGCCTCCAGCCTCTTCAGCTTGTCCTTCAATGAGCAGACGAGAGTTCAGAAAAATGCATTTCAGAGCCAAAGACGATGAGGATGACGATGATGCAGAAATGTAGAGAAGCACAGAATGATTTCTCGACACATTCAGGATAGTTAACAGTTTGACAGTTTAGCAAATTATGCAATTTATATACAGTGCATCTCCAAGAGAATGTCTTAATCAGATTTCATCCCTAAGAGAACTGTGCAGAACACCAGATGCCTGTGGGAGGTGTCCGTGCAGCCCTGCAGCTGCTGCTTGGGTGCAGGCATCTTTTGTCACATTCGTATGCTGTGGTGCTGGCGTGGGTTAGTCATGAGGGCTCGGTGCTTCCGTGTTAAGTGAGTATGATCTTTGTAAGGAAACCTTCCCTTGAGCTCCTTAGTTTTATGATATGCAAGTTTTTTTTTTTTTTTTTTCCATTATCAGAATCTAATCACTCCTGATCAATTCAGTGCCAGTGCTTGCAGGATTGTCATTGCAGTGTAGAGCTAGTGTTGTTGACCTTGAAATTTTACAAAATACACATGGGAAAGAAATAAAAATATATTTTGAAAATTTTTAAAGTACTGTACCTAAAACTACTCCTTCCTCAAAAATTTGAGAGCCAAGGGAAGAAATGAATCTTGTCCCTAGGCTAGGACCACTGTTTAGGCCCATTAACCTGCAGGAGAGGTAAGGCCGCTGGGACAGGCTTTGAGAGGTGACCCAGCCCCTGCCCTGCCCTATTGTCCTTGTTGACAGCTCACTCACCTTTGCCACAAGAGGGTCAGACTGCCTCCCTCGTTCTGCGTGGTGGAGGCACTATCCAGTGAGGTGTACCATTCGGCTGCATGTGTTCTCAGGTGGCACCCTGGGCCCACACACCTGAGCCCTATCTGGGGATGTTCCCCAGCCCCCACCTGTATCAAGGAGCACCTGGTGACGTGTCTTCCCCAGTGGACAAAGGGATGCAGCACATGGAGGCTTTCCCAGCCTCTTCCTTTCAGCTGTGTGCCAGGTCTCAGCAGAGCACCTAGGAGGAGGAAGCCTGGCCGTTGGCTGTACCAACGGGAAAAGTGCTCGGCCCTTGAGAACACACAGGACTCTGTAAGGAGTGGCTCCATGTCTGGGCTCCTACCCAGTCCTGGCTGGGTGTAGCCAGGCTGCCTGCCAACTGTCAGCCGTCCTATGAGGTAATAGGAAGTGACAACACAGCAGACCACTCAGCAGGTGACAAGCCCTGTGAGGCTCCTTCCACTGCCCTCCCTGCAAGTAGTTTCCCTGCACCATTCTCTGCTTCTGTTGTGATCCCCATTATCTGTGACCGTCACCTGCTCTGGAAGATTCTGCCATTTATTCATTGATTGAATATAATTCAAAACTTATCTGTAGTCATTTTCTGATAGCCAGGGGAAATAATTTACATCTTTAGATTGCTGCATTAGTGCAGTCTGTAATCTGCACTGCCTAGGCGGGAGCACCATCGGTTCTGCCACACCTGACCTGTGTAGGGCCCTTCCTAACTGGTCATGCAACTTGAGCCAGTCCCAGAAGCCTCACATGACATCTAGGATTGAGGTGGCAGAGATGGCAAACCTAAGTCCCTGAAGGTCACTATCAAAGGGAAGCAGAGTTGCCACAGCACAGGTATCACATGTACAGTAAGCGGCCCCAGGTGGTGGGCAGGGCCTCTGGAGCAAATGGACCCAGTGCAGAGGTCCTGCCATTGTGCTTCCAGATGCAGGGCCACCTGCAGAAACACCAGGGAATCAACCCACAGCACATGTGAACACTAAGCACTAGAGAAAATAAACCTCAGAACACACTAGCGTATAGTAAGATCACCATGAGCACTGCACACCCTCTGCACAGGCTGACCACAAGCATCTGCCTTGTGGGCCTAGCCCCAAAGCAACAGGAGGCCACATTATTACAAAAGGACTTCTTAGAAACCATCTCTAAACACAAGACGTGGTGGGCACAGTGCTCAGTGTGCCCAGGGGAGAAGGAAGGGGCGCTTCCTGAAGGTGTGAGCCACCACAAAGGGCAAGTCCCCACTGGCACCTGGAGCAGCCCTCTCTGGACTAGAGAGGCTTACAGCCTGCGGCACAGGTGGGACCCTCAGTTCCAGGAAGTTCCTGTGCTGGGCATCCTGGCTACCAGCCCAACTCTCCCTCTGCCTCATGCCCTTGACAGGCCAAGTAGACACCACCCTGAGCTGGGGACTTCAGTTCCACCACAGCTGTGCTCCGAGACTGCTGGGTCTCTGCAGATGGAGGATTAGGGTCGGCCACTAATGGCCTCCAGCCTCTCTGTTCAGCTTTATTCTCGTCACTCCCAATGAGCAGACTCCTGACGGTTTAGAGAGACCTTTATTGCTTTTTCTAATGGCATAAGTGTAAAAATCCAAATATTATTAAATTTATCTTTACAAAGTACATTATGAATTGTTATAAAACACATTTTAAAAATTCAAGTATTACAAATGCATGATGTAGGAAATTAACGCTTTGTTACCCATTCCACCCCTGTTAAGTGCCCAGGATCACTGCCATGCACAGCTTGGTGTTTCCTCCCAAATTATCTGCAAATAATACACTTTGTTTTTGGTACTGGAGATTAAGGCCCAAGGCTCTTAACCACTGAGACCCAGACCTAGCTCCCCCTTTTTTTATTTTTTATTTTAAAACGGTGCTTGCTACATTACTAAGAACCTCACTAAATTGCTGAGGCTGGCTTCAAACTTGCAATCCTCCTGCCTCAGCCTCCTGAGATGCTGGGATTACAGGCGTGTGCTACTATATCCAGCTTCCTACACACATTTAAAAAACCAACAGGTCAGGCTGTGGCTCAGTGGTAGAGCACTCACCCAGCATGCGTGAGGCACTGGATTTGATCCTGAACACCGCATAAAAATAAAATAAAGGTACTGTGTCCACTTACAACAAAAAAATACATATTAAAAAAAAAACCAATAGGTCATACTCTGCATAGCCAGCCCCCTGTGCCCTCAACAGCTTCCCATTTCTACACATGAACACTTACAAACACTTAAAGCTATTACAGTTTTGCACTATGTACATGCATTAGGTCAAATCATGAAATTAATGACATCCAACCATTTTTTACCTAAAAAAAAAGCAAGCTTGCAAGGTCCAACATAATGCCACTCAGCTATTCCCCACTGAGACATTTGGAAAGTTTTAAATAATTCACAGCACTAACATGGGAGCCCAGACTTTTACCCCAGAAGCAACACATCTCTCTCTGAGGCTTTTAAAAGGATCCAGAGATGGAACTGCCATTTAAATGGAGACCAGCACAAAACTGAGGCAGAGGAGCAGCCAGGCTCAGCTGTGGGGCCTTGTGAGCGTGGAGACTGCCACAGGAGCACATGCAGTGCTGGCAGATCAGTGCCAAAGGCCAGAGCTCAGCATGACTCCCTGACACAAGCGCCCAGCAAGCACCCAAAAGATGTCCTCTGGCAGAGGAAACAGACTCTGAACTGTACTGAAATCAGATTTGAAGAAGTTTTCTTCCAGGAACCACTGGAGTGAGGACAAAATACAAAATCGCACCTGTTATTGTTAGGCACAGTTGGGCCTTGTGGAGGGTAAAGGACTCGGCACCTGGGTCACTGGCACTTTCGAGCAGGCCGCCGCCTCTTTGGCCTCTTCTGGGATCTGTAGATCCTACCGGGGTCGCACTCGAGCTTGTGGGTGGTCTTCTTGTGGCAGGCGATGTGCACCAGCTTGAGGTTCTCTGAGGTGAAGAGCAGGCTGTAGAAGTATTCCCAGTCCACCTCTCTCCTGCCCTGTTCCTGGATGGCCTCAGCCAGTGTGGGCACGATGGTGCGCTTCTTCTCTATTCTGCAAAGCCAGGTTAGAGGTGGTCACTCTGCTGACGCAGTGCCATGGCCCAGATGTGGTACGGTTCCTACTCGCCTGTTGTCACTAAAACATACAGTGCCTGGCCACTTACAAGAAAGACCAGCGTGGGATCTTTTAAGAGTCTAGAGGCACACCAGGAACATCCCAGAAGGACCACATGGCAGTGAAACAGGTGGGCTCAGCCAACACTGCAGGAGCCCAGCTCGAACTCCTGTGTCGTCCCCGAGTTGAGGGTACCTATGGGCAGGTCTGTCTAGCAGAGCCTGCGCCCAGTGTAGCACGTCTTACTCTTTAACACTTGATTTGTGGGCACTGTTCAAAATGCTGAAAAGAACACAGGGGAGAAGGAGCTGATCATACTCCATCACCACGAGCCGCCACCAGCAACTTGGCTTGTGTCCCATTTCATCCAGGTCAAGATGGACCCCCAAGGCAGGAAATTTAAAAATGACCTGAAGCTAAAGTCACCTTTGACTCCCACCTCAATCTCATGTCTGCTTCCTACCTTGGGGATGGGGATTAAGGATTCAGTATGTCTCTTTCTAGTCCTAATCTTACATGTCTAGTTTTTTTAAAAAACACATGCCATTACTCTGTATAAATCTGTTTCACTTGTAAGCAACCAATTCAAGAGAACACCAGGTATCTAGTAAGGAGATGGGACCACGGTGAACAGGTCATCTGGCACCAAGGTGTCCTCACCCCATAGCCTGGAAAAGCTAAGAAAAATACTTTATCACATAAGTGAAAGCAACAGGAAAAAGGAGGCACTGAGCTGCCAGGAACACAGAAATCACTGTTTGACGCACGAGGGCACCACACTCTAGCCATCAGAGGGGCCTCGAGGGGCCTACGCCGTGCCCAGGGCCCTGGGTAGAGAGAGGGAGGCCCTTCTGCATCGAATGTCCATGCCATCCAGTCAGCTGCCCCTCCACCATGTAAAGGGTCTCCCGCTGGCCCTGCAGGCCCTCCCAGGGCTGCTGCACTTCCTGAGGGTCAGCTGGGCCTGGGCCCTTCTCCCCAATGGCCTTGCATCCCCAAGGGTGATCAAGAGGACAAGATCTGACGTGCAAGCACTTGTCAAGCCACATCTGCCTCCTGTTGCTAAGGTACGTGGCCACACCTGGATTCAGCATCAGGGGAGGGGCAGGGGCACGAAGGGCAGGTACCATCTGTACCTATCTCCAGTCATACCTATCTCCAGTCATCCACCCTCGGGCCGGTGTCACATGGGCAGAGTCCAGATGAACACAACCAACACGGCTCGGGAACAGCAGGCAAGCAGCAGCGTGAAATTGCTTCAGCACCACTGACAACCCTGGGTGTCTGTGGGAACAAGGGCACAGACACTCCAGAGAGAAGCCCACAGGCCAGCACATGGGTGTGCACAGGAAAAGCTCCACCCGAGATGAGTGCTGGACCCAGCCCACACACCACCAAGGAGCCATACCTGGACGAGCAGCGCTGTCCCTACACAAGACGAAGGCCAGGGAGGGGCCAGGTGACTGCCCAAGACACCTCGCCTCAGAAAACCCATGCAGGGTGCCGGGCTTCCTGGACCACCCTCCAACTCGAAACTTTCTAAAAGGACTCCCAGCCCCACTGACGGCTGCTGTGCTTGTGGCTCTGAGTCACCACAGCTGAGGCCACCTAGCCTGGCATCAGCCAGGGAGGAGGCATACAAGGCGACCACTCCTCCAGCCACTCCATGCGCCTGGAGCACTGCCAACCAAGGAGAGCACCGCCAACCAAGGAGAGCACCCAAGCCTCGGGAGCACAGTCTACAGTTGACCCCAGTCCCCAGCGCCCCCAGAGGTCAGGCTGGTAGCACTGACTTCTAGGAAGGGCATGATCTGCAACGGACAGGCTGGACAGTGTGGAACTGCAGGGCCACTAGTGAAGAACACTGCTGCAGACTGGGGGGCGGAGCTGACGTGCAGACTGTCCTCCAAGGCTGAGAGAGAAGCCCAAGGCCGATGCCCCAGGCCTGGTCCTTCTGGTCAGGGAGCACATCCTGCCTGGGGACAACCACCAAAAGGAGAATAGCATGCCAGAGTGAGGAAGACGCTGCAGACTTCGGGTGTTAAGACACTTAGGGCTGCCACGACAGAACACAGCTGAGCACCCACGTTCCAAGCACTGAAGGGCGGTGACAGGCAGAGAGGAAGGACCACTCAGGCAACAACGAAAAGCACAGTACAGACCCGAAAGAAGTGCAGAGAAGGTGCTGTGGGCGGGAAACTCAGAACAGGGTAGCTCCAATAAACTCAGGTCCATTTACTCATGCAATTAAATATTGACCAAACAGCCACTATCGACAGACACTGTGCTGGACACTGGGAACAGGTGACCCCACAAAGACTGTGTTCCAGCAGAGAGCACCGCCATGGGGCAACACAAGTCTCAGGCTGGATGAAAAAAAGGCAGTTAACCTGGCTAACAAGACAAATGCCAACCTCAGGGCACCTGGGAAGGTACACAAGTGCCATCCTGCCTGAGAGAGCTGGCGACTGTGGAGCAGCAAAGAGCATCTCCGTGAGGAGTCTCGGCCAGTCACAGCAAACAGGCTGTGACGCAGAACCGTGAGGAACACGCCAAGGCTTGAAACAACCACAAAGACATCTCTGGAAACCAAGGGCTGTCAATAACCCTGCATCGAGAGAGTCATGATGAAAATCAGCCTCTAGAACCACAAAAGGATCTCAAGGGCTGCTGTTAAGTAAGCCAGGCAAGAAGAAACATGTGGCCTTAACATCAAGGACACAGAGTGCTGAGGGAGCCAGGCCCTGGCCGGACCCCTGCAGCTGCCAGGAAGGGAAGGGCTCCCCTGCACTGCCGGACGCCAGACCTCTGAAAAGTCTGGATTCCTCTCCGACCTGCCACTGGCCTTCTGCGCCACAACATGTGAATGGGAGGACGGTGCCCTTTTATTTCACAGGTGGCTTGCTTTTTAGCTCTTCCACATTTAAGCATGTACACAGTCTTGAGCCCCATACATCAGGGGAAGGCTGTGGCTATGGCTGGGGAGGACAGTGTTCCTTCATCTTCTTAATGAGCACTGGTAAAATCGACACTTTTAGTTAAAAACCAGTGCACACAACTGAAAGCATGTATATCTTATGAAAGAGAACAAAACTGACACGGGTACTCCACAAACACCATCACCGGCTCAGGCCAGGCCTTCCGCCACCACCATCTGTATTTGTTCTAGGCCGGCGTGAAGAGTTCCAGAGCAGACAAGACAGTCCGGAGGGCCACATGTGGACACTCGGTGTCAGAAAGAGCCCAGCAAACAAACCAGCAGAGAACTCGGCGAGTCCTCATGACGAGTGGGCAGGACGACTTCCTCCCAGAGCACACCCAGCACCTACATCTGCTGTGATCAGAGAACGGAGAGCTGAAGGCCAGCCAGGTGGAAGGCATCTGTGACACTGACAGCCACCAGAGACGTAGGACTTGTGAAGAGCTCTGCAAACAAGAAGCTATGGAAACGGCCCTGCTGGCCCCAACTTCCCCACAGGCCATGGCCACAGCTCTAGTTCCAACATGTGGCACCAGCCTCTGAGAGCCCAGCACCAGGCCACAGGGAGTCAGGCGCTAAGGCCAGACAAGGCCCATCCACAGGTGGGAACAGAGAGCAGAGGGCTCAATGTCAGGCACGCATTTTGACAGCAGGCAGAACATGTCTGTCCAGCAGCCCATCCACGTGCACACACGGGGCTGCTTCCCTGGACCAGACCCACGCAGCACAGCAAGCACACACCAGGCAGCCAACAACAGTGAGCACAGGTTCCTTGGCAGGGCCTGGACCCCTGCAAGCTGCTCTTCTTGTCTGCAAACCTGAGTCTTGGCAACAGGCACTCCCAAAGGTCCCCCTGCCGCAGACTCACATGTGATCCAGGTTCCAGGTGCTGAAGAGGACCCGGCTCTCCCTGTTGCTGTAGGGGTTGATGCAGTGCTTCGACGCACAGCTGTCCAGGTCAAAGGGGCCCTGCGGCGACAGAACAGGGGAGGCGAGGATGAAGCCCCTGCACTGGTCTCCAGCCCCTGGGATGAGCCTACTGGGCAGAGAAGCATCTGCTGTCAGGAGCAGGGCAGGAATTCTGCCTTTGGGGCATCTCCTTTCCCCCTCACTGCCCCTGACGCTATCTGCTGAGTTTGCAAAGGGGACAAGTTGGTTTTTGTCAGGGCTTCTAGAGACGTGTCTTATCATGTGCCTACATGTCTCCGCGCTGGGTAGACCAGTCTTCTCTAGCTGTCTCAGGGCACTGTGACCACACACAGCTGCCCCTACCTCCTGGGAAGTGGGGAAGGTGCTGACGGCCAGGGCCATGGCTGGGGAGGGGTGAGCAGGACCACACTGCATGATGCTCTGCAAGGCTTCTTGGACTTTCCCTGCGACCAACAGAAGCTGAGCCGCCTGGGTGAATATGCCGCGGTGGAGACTGCCACCTTCCCGGGGCCAACACTTGTGCACCTCGGATGTTTGTGGGACTCTTGCTGAGCACTATGGCCGCACCTGCCACTCTCTGCACCCCTCGAAGCCTCCCAGCACACAGCCACCTCTGCCCTGGCACCCTCACAAACTGTCCACCCCCCACTACTCTACCTCCTCGAGGACAAGAGAGAGGCAGGAGACATCTCTGTCCCCAGCTCATTGCATAGCACCTGGCACAGAGTGAGCTCTCAGCAAATGGTGCAGTGAGCCCCTGGGAGTCTGTATGTTTGGCCAGCTGGGAAGGAGGACATTTCCATCATCACCACCTATCGCCATGAGGAATGGTCCAACAGGAAAACCCAGTGGTCAGAGGCCACCCTGGCCACCCAGCTCTGCTGTCAGAAACACCCAGCAGGAAGGCCCCAGTGTGGGGACTCACTGTACAAGCACTTGCAGTTTGCCATGGCAGGAGGCCCCCCTGCAGGTGCCCCCCATGCTGCAGCAGGGCCCAGAGAAATGCCACGCCCTGGAGCCATTACCACTCAACACTGGACCACGCCTCATGTCCCAGAAGGGAGCCCAGGACAGCAGCACACAGGAAGCACATGCAGACGGCCAGGCTCACCCTCACTGCATCACTGCTCCAGCCTCCAGACCCCATGTGAAATGACGCTCCTCTGGCCGTCAGGAGGTGGCCCAGCCAGAACCGGGGGTGTGCCTGTGCAGCCCAGAGCATTCTTTATAGCTGATGCCCCCACCAGGGAGTGAAGCTCAACCAGTGCCCCCACAAATCCTGACACACAGGGACTCTGCCACCCAGAAAGCTGATGGCAAGGCTCCGGGCACATGAACATCAGCACAAGCCAGGGCCAGAGTTTCTCGCTCCTGCAGCTGCCCCCTGTCCAGGCCAGAGGGTCTTGAACTGAGTCCTGGGATGAGAACATGCCTTCAGTGCTATTCACAGGCCTGCCCTCCCAGCTCTGAATGCGAGGGCCACCCCTTCCCACAGGCTGTGCCAGGCAAGCCAAGGGTTCAGCTCTTCCTGCCTCGCTCAAGGAGAGCTGTGCTCAGGCCACCAGGGCTGACCTAGAAGGAAGGACACTGCTCACCTGGCAGGAGAACCAGCCTTCCCGCGTGCAGAGACGACTGCCGGCCTCAGCTCCTCGGTCAAAGTAGCTGCCATTGTACTGCGCAGACCTGAGCCTCTGGCACATGGCACCAAGGATCCGTAAGTACTCCTCGCGAGCTTCTGCGCCCAGCACTCGAGAACAGGAGCTCACCTGCAAGAGTCCAGGGCCTCGCTGGTCCCAAAGCCTCTGTCAGGCTTCCAACCTACAAGCCTCAAGGTCCTCAGAGACCTGCCCTTCTGGCCACATGGACTAGACCCTGCCCAAACCCAGTCCTGTGGTCAGAGGTCTGCCCACTGCCCAGCTGTCCCATGCTATGAAATCACTGAGCCCATGAACTGGAGGTAATGGTCATGCTGGTCACCAGGCTGGATAAGAACTAAGATCACACAGTGACAGCAGCCACCTCCCTGTGGACAGGCCAACAGTAGTCATGGTTAAGGGCTGGGTCTCTCCTGAAGAGGGAAAGCACCAGGAGCAGCCCTGACATTCCAGTGAACTGAGTTCCGTGGGAACACGGGGACAGCCAGCCACCAAGACCTTGGGAGGTGCAGAGACAGGGGATGGCAGCACGTCAGCAAGTAAGGCAGACCAAGGGTACAGGGAGCCTGGCCACATGGCGCAGCTCTGGGACAGCACACAACCCTCCACCAGCCAGTGCGGGGAAGGAAACCCATGCAGACAGGAAAGAAGAAAGGGGTGGGAGCTGGCTCCACCTTCAGAAAAGAGGGCAGGGCCACAGGAGGAGGGCCAAGTGACAGAGGAGGCGGTGACCCATACCTGTGGCTCAGGCTGCTGACCCCTCAGGCCTCAGCTAGACCTACCAACCTAGTCACGGTGGCACGAGATGGACTCAGCTCTGAGCACCCTCTCAGTCTGCCCACTAGCCCTAGCACTTGCCCTGGCACTTCCTGGTCACCGTGGAAGAAACCCATGCTTAAGCATCGTCTGCATAAGGAGGCCTACAGGTGCTCGCCCCTTCCTGGCAGGAGCAACAGGTGGGCAGACAGAGGATGGCAGCACAGGGGCAGCACCACACACAGTATCCTGGAGACACCCCACAGGGCACAGCCAGGCATGCCCGCAGGAGGGCGTCCTCAGTGACAGCAGGGTCACCCACAGGGCACAGCCAGGCATGCCCGCAGGAGGGCATCCTCAGCGGCAGCAGGGTCACCCACAGGCACAGCCAGGCATGCCCGCAGGAGGGCGTCCTCAGTGACAGCAGGGTCACCCACGGGCACAGCCAGGCATGCCCGCAGGAGGGCGTCCTCAGTGACAGCAGGGTCACCCACGGGCACAGCCAGGCAGTGTTCACAGGAGGGCGTCCTTGGTGGCAGCAGGACCACCAGGAGGCACATGCAGCTGCATCCAGTCCCACAAGCGTGGCAGGGCCCAGTCAAGGTAGGGGTGGAGGGAGATGACCAAGAGACCGCAGAGTCTGTGCAGCCACATAGGCACAGGGATGGCACACCATGAAAAGACAACACCCACCCCCTGCTCTACAGCTGGCTCAACTCCTGCCAGCGAGCGGGCCTGCAGGGACCAAAAGCAGACAAAGCTGCCAGAGCCAAGACCTTACTGTCCCACCCGGAAGGACCTGAATGGAGACACAGAGCCCAGTGCGTTGGAGAGCTCAGGCCCACGCTCCTGGGGCAGACACCTGGCCCACTAGGCTCCACGGAGCATCCCCTTCCACTCTGCACTCCACCTGTCACACAGGTCTGATCTGCTGAGGAGCAGCAGAGGGACCATGCCAGGACCACAGACCCAAGGCCTGCCTTCCTGAAGGCAGACAGCTGCCCAGGAGTGTCCACACTCCTTCCTATGCCACTGGGCCAAGCCTCTCCCAGGGAGGAGCCAGCATCAGAGCCCCATGCGGCCACTTGGCCCTGCAGTTCTTCTCCAAGCTCAGATGACCACACTGTGCCCCAGAGTGTTGGCAAGAGACTGCTGCCCGAGCAGGGCGAGGCACAGAGAGAAAGGGCATCTGTATGGGAGAGTTCGAGTCAGAATGGAACTTGCTGCCACATGGAAACACTCAGGGGCTAGTTCTGCTCTTCACCAGCAGGAAGAAGTCCACACAAAACAGAGGGGGAGTAAGTGGCTCTGCTGGGCCTCAGCAACCCCAGCCACAGGCCTCCATCCCAGGTTCTAGCACACTGGGGCACCCAATAGTGGCCTCAGAGGTGGGGCACAGGAGAGCTGTACCAGCAGAAAAGTGGCCTCCCACCACCTACCCACACCCTGGGCCCAGAGCCCTGGGCACAGCTGGCCTGAACAAAGAAGCACTTACCTCTCTCAGGTAACTCCGGATCCGGCTCTCGCAGCTGTATCGTAGGTAGCCCGACTTGTTCCTGAATCGGGACTCCAAGCCTGTAAAGATGAAGAAGAGTCCCCGGAGTCCAGGGCAGCCAGGGCCTCTTGGCTGTGCCCGGCTGGGCTTGCCTGCCAAGCAGGGCAGACCTCATGGTCGGCCAGCTTCATCTAGAGAACCGAGGGTGGCGGCATGCAGGGCCTCACTTGGTCTTTGGTTTTGAGGCATCTCAAACACCACTAAGGGCTTCTGCCTGGCTGCCCAAACAGCCCTCCTTTTCCAAGATGGGTGCCAACTCCTCAGGCTACCTCCAATTGGCTTCCAAGGCCAGTCCAGAAGGCAGGAATGACCCTAGTGTGCATTAGTAGAAGATAAACCACATGCACCCATCCACAACGGAACGCTGCCCAGCCTTAAAAAGACAGTCCTGACACAGGCACCACAAGGACAAACCCGAGGGCGCGTGCTTCACTAGGTAAGCTGTCACACAGACACGCCCTGCATGGTCCCACTTACGGGAGGCACCCAGAGTCATCACACTCGGATGGAAAGTAGGATGAAGGGCATCAGGCTGGGATCAGGGCTCAACAGGTACAAGATGCAAGAGTCCCCAGGCCATACGGCAGTGACAGCAGCATGACAGTGGATACTCAGTGCCACTGGACTGTGATGCCATTCGCTTCCACATCTGTAGTTCAGCCAACCACAAGTCTTAGGCGTTTAAAAATTACACCTATACAGACCACAGGCCTGTTGTTCTGCCACTCCCCAGCCCACCGACAGCTGTGTATGCGGCCCGCCGCACAGCGGATGACTGCAGGGATGCGAGCAGCTGCAGGCAACAGATCTGCACATCCCGAGGGTTTGGTCCCATGGGGGTCCTGAAACCAAACTCTTCCCCAGACACTGGGAGACAAGCCTACTTAACAACGGCCAAGACAGTAAACTGTATGCTGCACTCATTTTCACCTCAACATTTTAAGAGTAATAAATTCAAAAAGGGCAGCTGGAGGCTGCCTGGATGCTACCCGACTCTCCACGAGCCCTTGCTGGTGCCTTCCCCACATTCCCCAGGCTCTGGAAGAGCACATCTTGTCCCGCCTCCCTGAAAGGCCACACCAGCTCTTGGTTGTGGACACTAGGACCTGACAGACCCCAGTTTCTCCTGGGCCCTTCCCCAGCCCACACACCTTCAAACCAGGGCGGGTCCTGGGCTCGGGTCTCAGCCTCGATGTTCTGGCTGACAGTGTGCAGGAGGTCCGCCAGCAGCTTCTGCCTCAGGGGGGCCCTCTCGCCAGAAAGCAGCTGCCGTGCAGCTTCAATGACCCCAGCCTGTGCCTCGTGAAACATGCTGAGGAAGCGACTGATGTCACTCACATCTGCCACCAGCAGGGAACAAACAGAAATGCATTCAGTCCAGGGAAGCCTTGATCAGAGAAGAGGCTGCAGCTCTCCGTCTCTGTGACAAAATATCTGAGAAAACAATTTAAGGGAGGAAAGGTTTCTTCCGGCTCCTGGTTGCAGGTTTCAGTCCATGGTCAGTTCTGTCCACTACTGTGGGCCTGTGTGAGGCACAGCATCATGGACAGGGGCCTGGCAGAGTGGAGCTGTCACCTCATGGCATCCAGGGAGCAGAGACCCCCAAGGACCACTCTCTTCAACTAGGCCCCACTCCTCCAAGAGCCCACTCAGCTGTGAGCTCCCTAGTGGATTAACCCACTGATGAGATCAGAACCCTTGGGATCCAATCCAAAGCCCCACCAATGGACACCACTGCACTGGGGACCAAGCCTTCAACTTGTGCCTTCAGGGACATTCCAGATCCAACTTCAGCAGGCCTCAATCCCTCAGCCTGGGGATTGCTAGAATTCAGACTCAAGGGGTCCAGGCCCTCCTCCTGGCCGGCTGTATCCAGCAGCCAACTACACACCAGCTCCCGCCCTCTGCCCCCATAGGGACGTGTGTCAGGGAGCGAAAGCACCTCCTCCTGAGCACCCCTGCTCTCCTTTTGGCCTCCTCTCTTCTAAACTGAACCACCCCCTTCTGAGGGCCTTCCCTGGAGACCCCTCTTCAGACCTCCCAACCCTCCCTCCTGCCCTGGAGCAGAGGTCTGCACAACTCCCAGGGCAGGGCGCTCTCCCACAAGCTCTCAGGGTCAAGAGAGACCAGCCACCAAGGGCCCTATCAGAATATCGCCACAGGGTCCAGGGATTCTAAAGAGGAGCACAGGGAGGCCAAGTGGGGAGTCAAGCCTGGTTCAGTTTTCAAAACCAACCCACAAGACCCACCTCTCCACAGCAGGAAGGAACCTTAGGGCCCAGGGTTCAATGGGGTTTCTTAGACTTGATACCAAAGGCAGAATCAGAGAAGTAGCAACCATCAAATTGGATTTCATGAAAAATTAAAATGTGCTCTGCAAAAGACACTGTTAAGAAGAGCAGAAAGACAAGCACAGAGTTATTTAGTTTTTATGACGACCAATTTGTTTCTTCCTTTATGGCTCATGCTTTCGGTATCACATCTAAGAATCCTTTGCCAAACCCAAAGTCATGAAGGTTTTATTCCTGTTTTCTTCTAAGTGTTTTGGGTTTTACTTCTTACATTTAGGTCATAAATCCATTTTAAGTTGATTTTTGCATGTACTACATTCATTCTGTGTGACTGTCCAGTTATGTCCACACCTCTTGCTGAAGAGACTATTTTTCCCCCACTGACTACTCTCAGCACCCCTGTCGAAACAGTGACCACGTTTACTTCTGGGCTCTCCATTCTACTCATCTACACATTCACCCCTGGCCAGGACCATGGTCTTGGTCACCACTGTGGGAAGCGTGAGTCCTCCTGTGCTCTTCTTCAAGATTGTTTAGGTTATTCTGAGTCCCTGGTGATTCCACATGAATTACAAATCAGAATCACCATGTCAACTTCTGTAAAGGAGCAGCTGGAATTCCCTGGGGACTGTGCTGAATCTGAAGACCTGTTTGGAGAGTACTGCCACCTCACCAATATCAGGTTTGTCTGATCCACACATATGAGCTGCTTTTCCATCTACTCCCACCTTAAATTTCTTTTGATAATGTCTTGTAGTTTTCAGAATAAAAGTTACATGCTTCTTTTTTTAATTCTTTTTTTTTTTCTTTTTTTAGTTGTAGATGGTCACAATACGTTTATTTTTATGTGGTGCTGAGGAATCAAACCCAATGCCTCACGTGTGCTGGGCAAGTGCTCCACCACTGAGCTATAACTCCAGCCCAAAGTTTTATGCTTCTCTTGTTATATTTGTTCCTAGTATTTTATTCTTTTTGATGCTACTATAAACTAGATTAATTTCCTTATTTCATTTCCAGATTGCCCTCTGTATGTGGATAGAAATACAAGTGGCTTTGTATACTGCTCTCATATCATGCAGCTTGCTACGCTCCATTCTCAGTTCTAAGTGTTTTTAATGGATCCCTGAGGACTTCTACTTACAACAGTGCACCTCTGCAGGGAGAGTACTTCTTTTCCAATCTGAGGGCCTTGTTTCTTAACTGTCCTAGCACTGTACCTCCAATACAATAATAAATGAAAGTGGCAAGAGTGAACATTTTTTGTGTGTTGTTGGGGGTACCAGGAATTGAACTCAGGGGCATTTGGCCACTGAGCCACATCCCCAGCCTATTTTTTATTTTATTTAGAGTCAGGGTCACCGTTGCTGAAGCTGGCTTCGAACTAGCGATTCTCCTGTCTCAGTCTCCCAAGCCACTGGAATTACAGGTGTGCGCCACTGTGCCCAGCTAGGAGTGAACATTCTTATCTTTAAAAACTAAACACATGCTAACCATATGACCTAGCACTGCACTCCTGAGCATCTTTCCCAGAGAAATGAAAATACACATCCACACAAAAACCTGGGCATGACTGCTCACAGCAGCTTTACGTCCCCCAGAAAGCGAAAGGTGAGGCTAACTGTGGTACAACCAAGTCACACAATGGGGAAGAGTGGACCACTGACACTCAACACTTAGATAAATAAGACCCATCCCAGAAAGCCGTACATCACACGATTCCATCCACCTAGTATTCTTGAAATGACAAATTATAGAGATGGACCATATGAGTGGTCACCAGGGGCAATGACTTCGATAGGTGGGGACAGGCAGGATCATAAAAGGGCAGCACCAGGAGGATCACGACGAGTGGAAGTACCTTGCACCTCGACTGAACAGGTAGTTCCAGGAGTCATCGCAGTAGTTCACAGACGTGGCCCCACAGCTTCCTGGGTTAGACGCTGTGCTAGGGTCATGCCAGAAGTGACTTTGGAACAAGTGGTAAAAGGTGCGTGGAACCTTCCTATCTTTGCAAGTTCCTGAGAATCACTGTGGGATTTTTTTGTTTTTATTTTTTTGTTTGTTTTTAATGTTCAACATTTCTTTACAAGTCTTCCTAGGAAAGGTCTTGGTAGAGGAAGGAAGATAGAGAGAAGACAGAACCACGAGAGACTTGAGAGAGACAAAGGAGACAAAGACTGGGAGGTAGGTGGCACAGACAGCAGCCTGTGGCATTTTTTTTTTTCAAACTATACCAGGAACCAGGGAAGAAAAGGAAAGATCCAGAGGTGCCCAGTTCCTGCCTCCCACAAAGGGCCATCCCAGGTGACATTATGGTGATTGTGTCCAGATGTTTCATGCTGGCAGTGAGCCCCTACCCTGCAGCCTGGAGATGTGGACAAACTCTTCAGCTTCTCTCTCCCATTCGGCAGAGGAGGCAGGACTAAGCCCCTGGGAACACCCCATCCTTCCTAGGACACCCATCTCTATATCCTTTATAGAGGAACCCTCCAGAGGATTGGCACTCCAAGGAGACTTCCACCAGGGGTAAGAAACTCTCCATGCTGGGTTGTAACACAAACAGTGCAGATTTGCTGTCCACCAAGTTAAGAATCACACCCCAGGCCTTCAATTCAGATATCCCTAAAGAACCACCTGTTGGAGCAAGTGTCCAATAAGACAGCCCTCAACATAAGCCCTGCAGACAAGGTCTCAGCAAACACTACTAGAAAACAGCCAGGTACACAGATGGGCCCCGCCCCGCCCTGCCCTGTCAAAAGAAGCAGCAAGACCCCAGCCTTCACAGCTCTCTCCCTGGCTCCCAATACCCACAAAACTGCAGCCTCAGCCTCAGCCTCTGCCTGTTAGCAGTAAAAAATTAAATTAAAAAAAAAAAAAAAAGACAATCAACTGAACAACCCAGCTCCCGAGCAAGAGGACCGAAAACTCAGTTGGACTGGGCCTCGGTGCGGCTTCCCGCCCATCTCCAAGGTTTGCACTTACAGCCCTGCCATGTCTGGCCCTCGGTGAGCAGCACGAGCTCGGCGTCATCAGGGAGGCCCGGAAAGTAGTCTTCAGTCACCTCGGTGCCATCCTCGTATAGGCATAGCCGAGAGCCCTGCACCGGGAGCTAGGGAAGCAGGAGGAGCAGGACGCTTAGGCTAGAGCGCAGAGGAGCTGCTGTTTGCTGGCCTCCCAAACAAAAGGCGCGAGCTGTTCAGGAACCCAGTTCAGGACCGTCTGGGTGCACGTCCAAACTGGCACTACAACCAAGGTGCCTGAGACATGCCAACTGGAAGCCGTTTGCAGTGCGGATTCGCCCTTCTAAAACGAACTCCTCGAGGGCACGTAAAACGCGAGCCTGTTTGGAACTGGTGCCTGAGTGCATCCCCAGAGCCCGTGACCCAGTCTGCGCACAGCCTCACGCACTGCCAGTCTTCGGGACCTGGTCCCTCAACACTCCAGCAACTCCCCGCCGCCGCCCACGTGCTCATGCATGTTCCCAGCGAGGGTCTACACCCATTCAGGGAAAAAAAAAAAAAAAAAAAAACCTGTCCCCATGGATGGGATGCCCCGACGGCAGTGACCCAGGCCTTCGCTCTGCCGAAGGACAGGCTGGGGCGGAGGGACGCGGGGGCCATTCAGCGCCGTGCAGGTACACGCTGCACGACCCCAGCTGCAGCGGGCGGCAGGTGCGGCCCTCGCGGACCCCACTGCCGCTGACTCGCGCTCCCCTGGCCGCGCCTGGACAGTGCGCGCAGCAACCAGCACCCTTTGCGAGTCCCTGCGGACCTGAAAGCGCAGGCAGCCCTTGCGCAGCAGCTCCTGGCAGCTCCGGCCTGCCACGCCGAACTTCTGTGCGCTGCGCAAGGCCCGCAGCCTGACGGTCTTGAGCTGGCTGACCACAGCGCACATCCCGGTAAGGATCCCGGAAAACCAGACACTGCTCGCTCAGCGGAGAAGCTCCGGAATTCTCGCGCGCGCTCGTGCGCAGGCGCAGGAGCAGGCGCGACCCGGAACCGAGGCCTGCCCCCGCGCGAAGTCGAAGGCGCGACCCGGAACCGAGGCCTGCCCCCGTGCGCAGGCGCAGGAGCGATCTGGAAGGGAGGCCAGCCCCCGTGCGCAGGCGCAGGCACCGCCCGAACCCGAGGCTTGCTCTCGTGCGCAGGCGCAGGCTCGGGAGGCGGGCGCGCGGGCGCAAGTGGCCCGGTTGTCATGACAGCGGGGCTGCGTCCCGGGCGCTGGGTGGAGGCGGCCCGGGCTGCTTCTCGGCTGCCACCGCAGCCTGGGGTTGAGGCGGCCGGAGCCGGGGACGGCGACGGCGGCGCCCCCCGAACTCCGCCAGAGGGAGCGACGGCCCGCGCGGGACCGTAGAACGTCGGCCGCGCCCCACCCCCCGCGCGCCCCGGGCGGCTGCGCCGAGCTCTCGCGTCGCCGCAGGTACCCGCCGGGACTCCCGTCCGCGCCGCGCCGCGCCGGCAGCCGCAGGCCAGCGGGGTCCTGCCCGGGCCAGCGGGAGCACCGGCGCCGCCCGCCCCGGCGGCCTTTCCTCCGCCGGCGAGCGGATCGGGCCGGGCCGGTAGCCGAGGATGGAAGAACGTGGTTCTGGCCCTGCATAGGTTGAACTTGGGCCTTGGCGAGGGGCGGGAGAGCTTACTTACTAAGTGTCAGATTTCTCCGAAGCCCCTTCAGTCTTACAATTATTTGACTCAAAGTTGTTATTGTGTAATGTTTTAAAAGAAACGAAAAGAAATTGTTTCCTAGCACAGCCTTTGGAAGTCGCTAAATTGAGTTTCATCTAATTTGTAGCTTATCGTGCCGGCTGGAGGTTAAGTATAGGGAGCAGGAGCGTCACCGGGCCTGGGGAGAAGTGTCAACTGGCACTTGCTGGGCTGCTCATTCCTGTCTCTGGGGCTGCAGTGTCTGGTGAAGATCAGCCAGTACCACAGAGCAGGGTTCTGCCAAAGTCCGTGGTGGCTCTTACAGAGCCTAGCAGCGTCTCATGTGACACTTGAATGTTTATGCAGAGATCTTCAGGCTTTTCAGATGCCCACACTGAGGCTGCAACATCCCTTCAAGTGCTGGTGCTTTCCTCCTGCCTGTTTCTCCAGGGCCAGTACTTTGTTTGGATTTATTGGGGTACCATGGTAAAGTGGAGGTACTCTTGTATTTGGACTTAAAGGTCCAATGTGTGAGTCTAGGTGCTGTCACAGAGTGTATTAATTAAGATCCGTGACACGGTGCCACACGGCCAACACAGCTCAGTAGGCACCTTCCAGGTGGTATTGAATCAGGTCAAGGTCAGGTTCACTGAAAGCCATGATAGCAGTCATTTGGCAGGTGTTCTAGATGCCCTATGAGCCAGCCAGCTGTGCGTCTTTTACTCCTTGCATCTGAGACTCCTGCTTTCCTCCTGGTTGTACGTTTTTTACACAGCAATTATTATGCTAGTGAATAGGTTGCCTTTCCCCGCTTGTTACTGAGAACTAGTTAACATGGTTCTATTGGTTTCCTAACCCTCCCCCTCCAAAAAAAAAAAAAAATGTGTTTGTACCCTAGCAAATAACTTGTTTTTACTGTGAGAAAGTTTCACAAACTGAATGGCTTAAACAATAGAAATTTATTCTGGAGCTTTAGTCTAAATTGGAGTGCCCTCAGGGCCACATCCTCTGAAGGCTCTGGAGGATCCTTCCTGTTTTTCCAGCTTCTGATGGTTTCCAGCAGTCCCTGGCACTCTGTGCTGTAGACCCTGCCACGCGCCTGCCCCCGTGGTATTGCCTGATATCCTCACTGTGTGTGTGTGTGTGTGTGTGTGTGTGTGTATGTGTGTTTTGCTGGTTTGCTGTCTTGTAGTGCTGTAGTCAAACCCATGGCCCCGCATGTGCTGGGCAAGAGCTCTTCATTGTTTTACACCGTCAGCCCCTTCTCCCTTCTTAAAAAGACCAGTTACATTGGATTGGGTGTACCCTTGGGACTTCATTTTAACTAGGTTACATCTACAGAGACCCTGTTTTGAAATTCGGTCAGATTTACAGGTAGCAAAGGTAGGACTTGAACATGTCTTTGGAGGACACAATTCAGTTCACAATACAGGTCAAACTTGAATAAATAAATTCAAATTTGGGGGAAAATCTTAAGTGGTACTTTAAGTAAAATCAGAAGTATTTATAAAAAGTGTTTGATAAGGCTGGGATAGTAGAGCTCTTACCTGGCATGTTAAGGCTCTGGGTTCAATTCCCAGCATCACCCCCAAAGAAAAGTGTTACACAGAAAAACTGGACTCTTCCAACATGATGGAGAAATCTAAATGCTTTGTTAATTCTTGCGTACATCAGCCAAGTGTGAACTGATACCTCAGGTGTTGTGTTAGTGGATTCCTTAAAAAAGTCTCCCTCTTCTAAACAGCCCAAGCCTGCAGAATGCCCCACAAGATCGGATTCGTCGTGGTCAGCTCTTCTGGACACGAGGATGGCTTCAGTGCCCGAGAACTGATGATCCACGCACCAACTGTCAGTGGGTGGAGGTCTCCAAGGTGAGGCTGGGTGAGGCTGGGCTGGGGGATGCACCAGTTCCTGATCTGCAGATGGATCCCTTTCAGTAACTTGGACATCATGAACCACAGAGTGGTCACAGTGTGCAGCAGTGTGACGTGACTAGTTCTGTGATGGGATTCCTTTCCTTTTTGTTTACGTTTATTTGCTGGCCTGGCTGAGTGTGATCCCACACACCTGTAATCCCAGCAACCTGGGAGACGGGAGGAGTGCACTTTCAAGGCCAGCCTTGGTAACTTGGAGAGACCTTGTCTTAAAATTAAATCAAAAAAAGGGCTGCATGCTCATAACTCAGTGGTAGAGCACCCCTAATTTTAGTCCTCAGCACCAAAGGGGGGAAAAAAAAAAGATATGCTGGCCCTTTCCCTTCTATCATTAGCCCACACTCAGGAAGTGAGCAACTACAGAAGAGAAAGCAGAGCTGCGTCACCACTGACCCTCTCCTACCACATGCCGGGTGATGCATTCTCATCCCTTTTCTGAGCAAAGGCTGTGTTTGCACACTTTTTTGGTCTTGTGGTTAGGCACCTACAGGGAAAGATTTTTGCCTCTAATTGCTTTTATGTGACAACAGGTTTCAGCCAGGGTCTCTTTCAAATTTCTCTTGAACATTTGTACATATTTATAAGAATGTTTATTATTTGAGTGTGTGTCTTACATTGTTTTGAAGCATCTGCTTGGTTCAAGAGGCCTGTGTTTTTCACCAGCACACCACCTAGCTGTGCTGAGGAGGCTCCATGGACCTGCTTAATGCTCAATACCTCCAGGGTCCTTGTCTCTGTTTCAATCCACAGGAATCTAACTGAAAAACCTGTAAATATGTAGGGCATTTGCGATTCAATCATATTGTTGTGTCCTGCTGAAAACTGAATGTAAATCACATTTAAAATTAAATTTTATTTTCCTCTTTGATTTCTTAGGGTACCCAAAAAACAGGCTCACTGTCCCTGCCCAAGTCCTGAGGGAGTTGAAATTAAATAGAGCAAAGCAGGTAGGGATGCAACAGCACCCAATTGCTGATGGCACTGAGGGCAGAAATATATTGTGAAGCCCAAGGCAGGAGGGCAGGAGAAGCACCCGCCAGTAGCCTCACCTCCACTTCCCAGGGTTCCCTGATGGAGAGTGCGAGGGAACCTCCCTTACTGTTCCACAGAGGTCCTGTCGCTGACTGCTTTTGTTCAGTGTGTGTTTATCTATCTATCTATTTTAGTTGTAGGTGGATACAATGTATTTTATTTTTATGTGGTGCTGAGGATCGAACCCAGTGCCTCGCGCTTGCCAGGAGAGTGTTCTACCTCTGAACCACAGCCCCAGCCCTGTTCAGTGATTTTACGTACTTTAAGGTTTTCAAATAAATAGTTACCCTGTTGGTAATATTTATAACAATAACACTAATATGATGCCTATGATGCCTTTGTATACTGACGTAGTAGTGTTTTTTATTTTGCTATTGTTTTTGTTGTTGTTACTGGGGATTGAACCCAGGGGTGCTCTACCACTGAGCTATATCCCCAGTCCTTTTTTATTTTTGAGACAGGGTCTTGCTAAGTTGCTGAGGGTCTTGCCAAGTTACCCGGCTGGCCTTGAACTTGCAATCCTCCTGTCTCGGCCTCCCGAGCCTCTGGAATGACAGTTGTGCCTCACCATGCCTGGTGGCTTGGTATTTCTTTTGGGGCATGTTAGTAATGTACTTTCAGAAGAAAGGAGACATGTTCCAAAGGAAATAATGTGTGTACTCCTGGTCACCACACAGACTGCCCCAAAGTCAAGCACATGGCAAGAAGGCAAAAGAAAATATCTTCCAGCCAGGAGTCCTGAAGACAGGACCAGACACTCTGTCACCACCACTACAGAAAGTGTGTTCAGGGGCAGCTAATGGCAGGTGGAGGGATGCCCCACTGCGGTCTCCAGGGAGCAGGAAACGTACCACAGTTCCTTGCCGGCCTGGGCTCTCCAGCAGTGTCACAGAGGACACCTGGTAGAAGCTCGTGGATGAGGCCTGGACCCTGGGGTGGGTGGGGAGGTGGGGTCAGCATTTGTTTTCCACATCACACTCCAGGCCTTTAGATGTCTGTGTGGAGCTGTGGCTTTCCCACTGGGTGTGGGTCACTCAGGGTGGTGTCCGGGCAAGGCTCCCTCGTGAACAGGACCTTTCAAACTCATGGCTGAGGACCAGGGGAGGGAGCTAAGGAGGTAGGAGGACTAGAAAGGGGTAGCATCAAGGACACTGGAGCCAAGTAGAGGGTTTGAGCAATGTGGGCAACTGTGTAGCAGAGCAAGGTCACAGCCGAGGAGGAGACATGGCACTTGGCTTTAAGAAGTCCATGGTGGCCTTCATCGGGTGACCTGTGGGCAGTGGCACAGGGGAAGGGTTTGAGAAAGTGGTGGTGGCTTCAGGCAGCATGACATTTGGAAAGAATGGGAAACCCCTGGAGAGGGACACCGAGTCATTGGATATGCTCTTGAGCTGGGACTTTCTGGACTGTGTGTGTGATGTGAGTGCTGGTCAGAACAGGCTCTGCTGCTATGGGCCAGTGGGCCTGAGGGCACCTGGCAGGAAGCTGCTGCGCTGGGCAGCAGAGCCTGCCGTGTGTGTTTCCTGGGTGAGGTGCGGGGCTGCCACACATCCAGAAGCACACCCGCAGGGCACTGGACACACTCCCGACCACCCCATCCCTCAACTCATGGGCCTGGGGACCTCCACAGTCCTGTTACCACATGCTTGTTAGCTAATGTAGGTCCTTCTGCCGCCATCCTGGCCGTGCAGTACCTGAAAGTCCGTGCTGGCTGACACGGTTCTCTAATCCCTTCTCGCTGCCTAGTGTCTTGTGTACTTCTGAGCAAAATTAGAAGCACCCAGCCTGGCTTCTCCGAGAGCATGGTGCACTTGTGGCAGGTCCTCAGATCCTGTGAACAAGTTGACGAAAGGTTTATTCTAGCTCACAGAGGTTTTGGTCTGTGGCCACTCAGCCTACTGCTCGGGGCCTGTGATGGGGCAGGGAAAAGCCCAGGCTGGAGGAGCCTGTCCAGCTCCCGGAGGCCAGGGAAGCAGAGGCTGGACTCCAGTGTGCCCTCCAAGTCCCTTCTGAAGGTTCCATGCCTGCACAGGCCGTCACCAGGGGGTTTATCAAGTACTTGGCTCCTGTGGGAAAATCTTGGGCTCTACCTTGCCCACTACTCAGCCCCTTGAGATGGGTTCATCTGTCCCGTAGTGAACCTCAGGTCCACTTGAGCTGTGGTTACAGCTGCCAGGAGTCGGGTTTGTGCTGGGTAACTGGCAGATGGACCACCCAGGGCCATCCTTTGGCTCTGCCCCAAAAAGCTCCAAGAAGGGCAGAGTGTCACAGCCTCTCCTCTTGCGCCCTGTGGCTTGGCCCCCACAGCGCCATGGGTTCACCTGCTGAGGCTGGCAGCACAGCATCTGGGGACTCTGCAGTCATGGCTCAGAAAAACAAAGATGTCTTTGCTTTCAGATTCTGCCAATTCCCACAAGAAATTGTTCTTCAGATGGTAGAGAGGTGTCGAATAAGAAAGCTGCAGCTGCTTGCACACCAGTACATGATCTCAAGCAAAATCGAGTTCTATATTAGCGAAAGCTTGCCTGAGTATTTTGTACCCTACCAAGCGGAGCGATTTCGCAGACTTGGGTAAGAATGAAATGCAAAATTTTAATGGTGACTTTTAGCCTGACCAAGTCTACCTAAGAGCTCTTAAGAATCAGTGAATTACCCCTTACATTGGGTCCAATGTGGCATTGCCAACACCTGCCAGGGATTGGGTGGGCTGAACCGCCATGTGATCATGTCTCCTGATGCCCACAGCCAGTTGTGCTTTGCAGGTAGAGAGCTTTTCAGAAACACTAACTGGAATCTGGGGCCTTTTCCCAGGCTGCCATCCCAAGCTCAGCTTTTATTTAAGCTTGCTGAGTCCAGCAGGAGCCAGGGGCGGGTTGTTGTTGAGTGGACGCCTTCTCCACTGTGTTGCCTTTCAGCTACGTCTCCCTCTGTGATAACCAGAAGACTGGCTGCAAAGCCCGCGAGCTCAAGTCAGTGTATGTGGACGCCGTGGGGCAGTTTCTCAAGCTGATATTCCACCAGAACCATATCAACAAGTACAACACCTATAACCAGGTGAGCACAGCGCGTCTGCACCTGCAGCTCTGCGCCTGCCCAGGTGTCCTCACTTGCATGTTCAGGCCTCTCTTCTAAGGAAGACCTTTAATGTATGACCGTAGCGCTCTAGATTCAGCTGGAAAGGAATGTGAGAGTGTCCGTGGAAGCTTTTGTGTCAGTTGCATGTAGTGGGTTAATATTTTGACAAAAATCACTCCCACCTCTTTCTTTTCCATTCCTTCAGTGTGTCTGCTAGAAAACAATGGCTGTGCAGCCAGCACTGCACCCCTGTGGACAGCACTGTTCTAGATGAACCCTCGCAGCTGACAGGAGACAAACCCCTGGTAGACACTGGGGGCCTGCCTGGGGGCTCTTGGCTCCAGCAGCTGACTCTTAATCCTCTCCCACCCACTCTTTCTTTTGATAAATGAATTAGAAATCAATTGTGTCCAAAGCAGTCTTATTGACAAATAATTACAACATTCCCTGCCCCTCCAAGAATACAAACATTCTTGGGCTGGCTCTGTAGCTCAGTGGTACAGCACTTGCCTAGCACGTGTGAGGCCCTGAGTTTGAGCCTCAGCACCACATAAAAATAAATGAAGGCATTGTCCATCTACTTGAAAAAAATTAAAATAAAAAAAAGAAATACAAGCATTCCAAGAAATCACACCTTATACCAAGTGAGCAAGTTGGAAGTGCTTACTAGGCTACCGTGGCAGCATGACTTGACAGGACACTGCGAGAGCCATGCCTGCCTTTCTTTGCTTGCTCCATGTCACCTGCTGTGTTCATAGGTAACACCCTGATTAGGCACTGAGGCCAAAGTGGTTCTCAGCGATGAGGATGGTGATGCGAAAGTGACTCCTCCCCTGCGGTGGAGGATCAGTGACCCGATAACCTCAGCCACATTAATCTCTGTTTTCCTTTCATGGTCTTAAATTTATCGTATGGTTATGACCCCTGACCTCAACCTTGAGTTTATTATAGGCTGTGATGACTTCAGGAGTGTTTAGCTACTATTGTTTTAACATGCTTTAAACAGTTGAAATAGGCACTTGGGTAAGCATTTGAATACTAATTTATATAATTTACTTGAAAATTGATGATGTTGAGCTGGGCCTGTAACCCCAGCCACAATCATGCTGAGGCAAGAGGATGGATTGCTAATTCAAAGCGAGCCTCAGCAATTTAGCAAGACCCTAAACAATTTAACAGAACTCTGTCTCAAAATAAAAAATAAAAGAGGCTAAAGAAGTGGCTCAGTGGTTAAGCACCCCTGGGTTCAATCCTTTGAACAACAACAAAAACACGATGTCCTGTATGTTAGTGTAACACTTCATGGTTTACACACTTTGGTATGTGTCATCTCCCCATTTGATAACAGTGTAAGTCAGAATTTGTTATAAAGGGCTGAAGGCCTCTTAAACTTATTTTATGCTTATTTCTGTTTACTTAACTTCTCCTTAGGTTGCTTTGGTTGCAGTAAATATCATTGGAGACCCTGCAGATTTTGGTGATGAAAGCAATATTGTAAGTTTGAGCCATTTAATTCCTAAGAAAGAATATGTATTTCTAATGGGATCATTTATTTTCATTGCAGAAAGTGTCATTTTCAAAGTATTTATAAATATAGCGAATCGTTGTCAGATAATTTCAGCAGCCATAGTCTAATAACCTTTTACTTAAGAATTTTAGCTGTCTCTCCAAAAGAATAGGATCGCCACATCTTGCTGACCTTCCTATCAGATTATCATGAAGTTAGGATTTCATGTTGTGCCTGTGTGCTGAAATCCTAAGCAGACATTTTGCTCCTGAAGACCTCTAGAGAGAAGTTGATTGATCATTATCTTGGGCACAACCCGGAGGATCCAGCCCTAGAGGGGACTTACGCTGGGTAAGTGCCTTCCCCACCTCTTGGCCCTGGCAGGATGCTAGCTAGCATGACCTTCCTCAGAGTCACCAGTGTCTCCTTGCTAATGGATTCTGCATTCAGAGGTGTCTAAATGCAGTCTGGAGCTGGATGAGCCCCTGACTGGGTTGTCTCCATGCACAGCAAGAGCAAGGCCATCGGGTTCTTTAGTTCTTTGGGCTGTGGGCGTCCAAGACAGGCTGAGGCCCCTACAGTGCATTGTTGTTGAGCTCGTCCTCTGTCCTTTGACATTTCACTGGCACAGGCAAATTCAAAGACACTATTTGGCCCAAATTATCAATCACTCAAGACTTTATTTTGTGGCTTCTTTGAAATTAAATTCACACCAGGGCAGCTTGGCAGAGCGGCTTTACAGCGCCCCCTCCCTGTTGGGTCACTCTTCACAGTGACAGTTGAGTACGCTTCACTTTTGCTGTCCCTCTTTTTTTCCCCTCACAGTGGGAAGACCCTGGTGGGTCAAGAGTCGGGGAGCTGAAGAGCCTCCCGCAGCTGCCCACCTGCTGCGTCCGTCACCTTCTCTTTCCCAGCTGCATCTTTGGGCACACAGTGTTTACATAGTGTTTATGAGAGCATAGGGCCCTGTCCCAAAGATGCCCCAGTCTAAACAGAAAAGGAATTCAAAACAGCACTGGTTCCTCTTCTCTGACAGCAGCTTACCAGTAAAGAAGAGATGAAACATTTTAAATTTTAATAGAAGTTTCAAATCTGTCCATAATTTGGGGATGTGATTTCACTTCACCTGAGTGTCAGTGGAGTCTGCTAACAGGATGTTGTTAACATTTGAACCATTGCACAAAACATGGAGTAGGCTGTCTGTGCACGTGCTCGGGAGCCGTTTGCCGCCGGCCAGCTCTGTGCCCAGGCAGCGGCCCCCTTCCCCAGAGCCCTCCCATCTCCAAGGGCTGCAGCCTGAGGGGATCAGGTGGAGGAGGGCTGGGTGTCAGAGAGGCCCCTGATGACTTCTCGGAGCCCTGGCTCCCTGTCATAGGAAGTGCCAGATGCAGGGGTGGCTAGCACTTTCTCCAAGACTGCTCATCATGGAGCACCAAGGCTCGCCGGCCACAGCAGCATCCCCTGGAGAGGAACAAGCCCTGACACATGCATTTCTCCCCTAGGAGATCTGACTATATCTCTCCACTGGACGACTTGGCTTTTGACATGTACCAAGACCCCGAGGTCGCACAGATCATTCGCAAGTTGGATGAAAGGAAGCGGGAAGCTGTCCAAAGGGAGCGTTATGATCACGCCAAGAAACTGAAGCAGGCTATCGCTGACCTGCAGAAGGTACTGCCTCTGTGAGCCCACTCCTCTGCCGGTGGATGGCCTCTTAGTTATAATAGAGCAGCGGGTTTCTGCCAGCTGTGGGTTGGCATGGGGTCTAAGGTCTTCTCCAGGGAGAGGTAAGGAGGGATGAGCACTTTGAAGATACACGTGGCCGCCACTGTGCTGAGCAGGACCCTTGCTACTGCCAGAAGTGGTAGAGGACATGCTCAGAAGCTCGGGTGGATTTCTGGCTTTATCAGGCACCAGGACAGCAGTACGCAGCGCTGCTGTTGCGGAGAGTGTGGCCTTTCCCATTTCTGTGCTGACCCCTCCCCGCACACCTCACACTCAGTCTCTGCCTCGTGAGCTCCCCTCCAGCTGTGGTCTTTGCAGACGTGGTTTGAAGCAGCAGACACCCTGTGCTGCAGGTGGGCGAGCGTCTGGGGCGATACGAGGTGGAGAAGCGCTGCGCGGTGGAGAAGGAGGACTATGACCTAGCCAAGGAGAAGAAGCAGCAGATGGCCTGCTACCGCGCACAGGTGTACGAGCAGCTGGAACTGCACGGCCTCCTGCACGGCGAGCTGGAGGTCAGCGGGGCGGGGCACCGACTGGGCAGGGCGACAGGCTCTGGGTAGTGACAGGACCCTCAAGGAGTCACCCAGAGGAGGCGGGAGCCAGCGGGGGGTGGAGGGATGGGCACTGCCCTCTCCAGCAAGCCCCTCACCCAGCCCCCTCTGCTCACGTGCAAGGCGTGCTGGCTTTCCCACCTGCCCCGCCCGAGAGAAGGAGAAGGTTCCGAGTGCACCTGTGGCCCCGGTGGGTGGTGCCCTGCCTCTGGCACAGCTCAGACAGGCAGGTAGGCCCCCATACAGCAGGTGAGGAAACAGGCCCTGAGAGCCACAGGACAGTGGAGAGCACAGGCTGCCTGGGTCTCACCTGGGCCCTCCCTTCTGGCCGCTGACCTCAGACTGATGCTGGCCAGCATTGCCTCCACGTCCCAGCAGGGTGAAGTGGAGAGCACAGGAGATGCCCAGTCTGTGGCCCTGGGCACCACGCCCAGGTGAGGTGACTGCAGGTTGGTTATGCCCTTTACGGTTGTGCAGGGTCCCCTGACCCTCAGGGAATAGTAGTGCCTGGTTCTGAGCACAGGCCTGCTCAGGCTCAACCAGTGCCTCCTGCCATGGTCGGCTTCTCCACAAGTGAACAAACCCGTTCACCGCGGGACTTGGGTGTACACGGTGGCTCTGTGTCCAGCACCTGAGGAGAGCACGGCAGGGAAGCCGCGTGACTTGGGCCCGAGTAGGAAGCTTTCCTTTGAGATGTGCCATGCTGAGGACCCTCTCCCAGCACAGCCTTCCTCCAGTCACTCACCTGGGGACAAGATGGTAGCTCCATGGCATTTGAGATGCAGTGTCCCTTCCTTTCCTCCAGATGCGGAGGCCCCTGGACTTGCCCCTCCAGCCCCTGGATCATTTCAGCAGTCCTCACCACCGAAAGCCAGCCCCCTCACTGCCACAGCCAGAAGAGGTGGCCCCCGAAAGCCAGCTTGCCCACCCGCTTCTTCAGGAGAAGCCTTCCTCGAGCCCCCTGGCTCCTCCTCCCAGGCACACTGCAATAGAACAGCTGCTGCCTGCCGGGGGCCCGCCTCCAAGGAGCAACGTGGGTAGCTCTGTTTACTTTGGTACTGTTTATGCCACAGGTGTTTTACTAACCACCACGCTGTGTCAGGTGTGGTCCAGTGCAGGAGAGGCAGGCATGCCGCACATGGCCAAGCCCCTCCCAAAGTTCTGCCACGGACACAAGGGCTAAGGCCAGAGCGCCACAGTAGCAGGAGCCAAGGAGCCACACCCTTGGGAGGCACCGTCTGCAGTCAGCCTGCAGCCCCCTCCTGTCCTGTCCCTTACCTGTGTTCTCACACGTCCTTCCGCCTCTGAGCTCTGCTTTCTGTATAAAGACGAAAACACTTTCTTAAAGCATCGACCAAAGAGTAAAAAAAAAATTCCCAAAAATGCCTAGCACACCAGCAAGCCACCTAGCATGTGATAAAGCTCGTGCCTGGCCACCATGCCTGATAGAACTTCCTGTGCTGTGAGTGACCGGACACCTGATTCTTACTGGGCGTAGCTAGCAGCTTAGGAGATCCTGTGGGCCTTGGTCGGTTTGATTCATTGCTGAACTATGTGGAGTCTGTTTCCCACATCACCCCAGGGCTGCGGTCACCAGGTGCCCTGTGCCACCTGAGGGGGAGGGAGTGTCCTATTCTAGCAGCACCCTTGTGTCTACCTGGTTAGATCATCCACAGTCTCCCACACCAGCCTTGAAGCAGCAGCCAGGGCCAGACTAGGGGTGTGTGGAATGGGCCATCAGGGCCTCCCGGCACTGTGAGGGGACAGAAAGGAAGACACCGCCTCTGCCCCAGAGAGTGCCTGCTGCAGAGGCCACGCGCCACGTCCCTGGGGCTTGACCTTATGTTCTGCTGACTACTTCAGTTTAATATACACAGTGCTCTTCCCGGTTCTATTGCCTCAGTGTCTCATGACTAGATTTGAGGGCATGAGAAACTCGCCCATTGGCGCACTCTCACTCACCATCTTGGTGAGCGCCAGGAGTGGACCGGCAGCCCCACCCACTGCAGTGTCAGCACACACACCTCTCTCCCTCTACTCGTCTCCCTTCGTTACCCAAAACTCTGCTACGTTCTTTCTCATTTGGTCATGGGCCTGTCTCCTTATGGGACTGCAAGCAGGGCAGAAGGTCCATCTTGTTCGTTACTGTGTGTTCCAAGATGAGTGCCTGGTACAAATTAGGTGCCCCATGAATATTTGCTGGAGCAATGGGTGAGTGAGATAGGCAGCTGCCTAGCCGGGGTCCTAGGCAAGCAGAGCAAGCCTGTGTAGAGTCTCTGACCTTGGCTGTCTGGGTCAATCCAAGGCCGCTGGATGGCGAGCGGGTTAATAGGCAGGCTGGAGCTGACTTTTCAGCAGTAAACTAAAAAAAGACCAGTGGTCTTGTCAGGAAAAAAAATGCAGTACCTTTCTTGGCTTTCGTAATCTCTGTTGAACTGAAATTGCTACTGGTCAGTAGTAACTGAGGCCAAGTCTGCATTGCTATTTTATGGTAAATTTAGAAAGGACTAGAAGACCTCTTCGAACTGTGCCAGTTACTTCCTGTTTACTGCTGCTCCGATCTGATGATGCTGATAGTGAGCAAAAGAATACCTTTCTGACACTCGCTCTCCCAGGAGAGCAGGAGGCCATGGGGAGTGTCACTTGGGGTGCTGTCCTCTCTCCTGCAGGTGGACACCCTACCCTATGACGAGCGGCCCCTCCCCGCCCCCCGCAAACAGCAAGCAGAAGTGTTGACAGAACCCGACGTAGGCGAGGCCGACCTGGGCACTGTGCGAAGAGGAGGTGTGGCCGGGGAGCCCGAGCCCCTGAGCGAAAAGGCCCTGAGGGAAGCCAGCTCCGCGGTGGACGTGTTAGGAGAAACCCTGGTAAAAAGGAGAAACCGCCACACACGTGTGCGCGCACAGGCACACTCACAGTGGAGGGGGGGTCATTGGTGGTGCTGCCGCTGCCGCCAGGAAGCCTGCCCTTCACTCACTCTCAAGGGCTGCGGAGCGCGGCTGGGTTCAGGTGTTATGAAAGCATGTTCACCGAAGGCGTGCCTGGTGTTCTCAGAGCTTGCAGGGTGCATCCCTCCTAGGAGCAGCAGCTAATTGCAGTGACAGTGATGGCAGGGAAGAGCCTAGAGCCTCTCCTTGCCTGTCCCCGGCCCGCTCCAGAGGGCCCTCTTGGTGGAGTTGGTGTGTTAGCACAGCCTTCCCATCCAAGGAGCTGTTCCCTAAACACACACACTCTACCAGGGACCCGCTACTAGAAAAGGTCCAGAGTATTAAAAGCAGACACGTGCTGCTGCGTTGTGGAGACCTGGAGGGCAGGTGGGTGGATGGAACCTGCCCCCTGAAGCAGGACCAAGCAGGCTCTGTGCCTGGCAGGTTGCCGGTGCCTATTCCAAGACCTGGTCCTGCCGAGAGGATGCGCTGCTTGGTCTGTGCAGGAGGCTGATGGAGGTGCCTGTTGGAACCCCGAAGGAAGACGTGAAGAGCATGCTGAGAGCATCTGTCTTTCTTGTCAGAAGAGCCATGAAGGACATTGTGACCTCGGTGAGTCCCCTCAGCCTGCTGGCCACAGGTGACATGCCACTCCACAGTGGAGCAGAGCAGCTGAGGGGCAGCCTGTCCTTTGTCGTAGGTGACTGGAGTGAAGGCTGTCTGGGAAGATGCAGGGCAGGTGAGGTCTGAGACCACTGCCTCTGCTTCCTCACCCCTCTGCCTGGTGCAGTGCCAGCTCTGCCACAGTCCCCAGCAGTGTGTGCAGAGGCCTGATTGCCACTGCCAGAGGAGCCTGGAATTGTGTTTTCCCAACTCCACGTGGCCTGAAGAACAAGTGCCACAGTGTCACCCTGGCTGCAGCTGTAGAGGAGCTGGCCCTCTGGGCCAGGATGTTGGCCAGTGCTCCCTGGCACAGTGAGACGGGAGCAGGGTGGGGTCTTCAGAGAGCAGTTGTTGGTTTCCGTTTTCAGCACTTCAGACAGCGCGTGGGTCTCGGCATGACCGATGTAAATCTAGTACTAATAGTGAAGTGTGTGTTTTCTCTTGGAAAATCCAGTTAGAAGAGCTCACCTGTTTTTATCCCATTTCCTAGGTCTTTCAGGCTTCTTTGAAATTACTGAAAATGATGATTACACAGTATATTCCCAAACATCAGCTGAGCAAGCTTGAGACCACCCACTGTGTGGAGAGGACCATTCCTGCCTTACTTGCCAGGACCGGAGATTCCTCCACCCGCCTGCGCATCATGGCTTCAAATTTTATTCAGGTCTGAACTTTACCATAAAACCTGACATCGTGGTCATGAACACCCCGCCACATCAAACGTCCCTCCTCTGGGCCAGGTCCTGAGGAAGACTGAGGCGCTGCCTCTCGGTGGAAGGAGTCCAGCACTTTCTCCCTTTCTTTAAAACCTGAAGAGCGCCACAACTAGCTTCATTTAAGAAGTTCAGATTTTCAGAGAAAATGAGGAAAAATAAGTACCATATTATTGATTAGAAAGTAAAAATGAGTCATATGACAGTGGCAAAAGGCCCGCCTTGTTAACACAGCTCAGAATTTGGAGAGGTTTTCATCTTTCAAAAAAATAGGTCAAGTCAAGAGCTTTGTAATGTTTTGAACAACTAATAATAATATTTTTTTAAAAAAAAAGGTCAAAATGAGAACATCTTATTGCTTCAGGTTTTTTTTCCACTTGTTTATTGTGAGTTTTTTTGTTTGTTTGTTTTGGGGTTTTTTTGTTTGTTTTTTGCTTTTGCATTTTTTTGTTTGTTTTGTTTTGTTTTCCTTAAGAGACAGGGTCTGGCTGTGCAGCCCAGGCTCAAATCCTCCTGCCCCCACCTCCGCACAGCTGGGACAGGCCAGTGTGCTGCTGCGCTGTCCCTCATTCAGTTGTTGTAAGCTGTGTTGACGTGAGCAGGCGAGTGGTGCTGGAATCCTTCCACTTGAGGTGGTCCTTTATGTGTGTGGTGCTGGGACTGAACCCGGGGCCTTGTGCATGCAAGCCGAGCACTCTGCCAGCTGAGCTCTGTCCCCAGCCCTCAGCCTTTTTTGTTCATACGTTTTTACCTTGAGGCAGTCTGTTGCCCAACCCCAGGCTTCCTCAGCCTCCCGAGTCTCTGGGATTGCAGGTGTGGCTGCCGAGCCTGCCAGGACGCCCTGCCGTGGGTGTTGGGTGCAACTGCCCATCCACAGGCCCCTGCAACTGGGGACCTCCTCACCTCTGTGGCATCTATGTGCTGTTTGAGGAGTTTGCTGTCCACACTTGGTGAAGAAAGCACTTATTCTTCTATTTTTCCTACTTATGCAGCCATCCGGGGCCCAAGTGCACAGGAATCGTGCTGCCAAGAGGAGAGGGGATTCTAGGTGACAGGACCTGAGACTTAACAAAACAGATCTGCTCTCCCAGCTCACCTGCTTCGGCACTTCATTACCCATTCCTCTGTTGCTGGCTAATTAAATCACAGACATTCTGGCCATAGAAAAACCTGTTTGCTTAGACACTTAATAAATATGTAATCCTGCTCGTTTTTTCATTTTAATCATATTAACAAGAGAATTGTACATTGTTACTCTCTTGGTTGACATGAAATACTAAAATAATGGCCTCAGCTACAAGACTGTAATTGTTTTTAGGATTTTAGAAATCAGAGAACCTTTTCTTGGTTGAGGAGCACCAAGAACCGAAACCTTCACGCTCTGGGCTATTCCTACAGGCGCTCACCAGCCTCTGGGCGGTGTGTTCTTCCCTGTTATGCCTCTCACACAAGTGTGAGCTTGCACGCCCATGACGATTCTGCAACCTCTTGTCCTCTCTGTTCCTTCCAAGTTTAGTGGGAAGTCTCGCCAGGTGGTGCTGAGTCATCCCTCGTGCTTTCCTGTTGCTCTCCACAGGAAATGGCCTTGTTTAAGGAGGTGAAGCCTCTCCAGATCATCCCATCCTACTTGGTGCAGCCTTTAAAAGTCAACTGTTCGGCTCATCTGGCCATGAGTCAGATGGACCTCCTGGCCCGGCTGCTGAGGGACCTGGGCACCGGGAGCACGGGCTTCACGGTGGACAGTGTGATGAAGGTGAGCCACCTCATGCCGTGTGCTAGCCACTGTGACCCTGAGCGTGGAGAGTCCCATCAGTGTTCGACGAGCGAGGGGGAGCCTGACTTCATGCCAGCGCATGAGGGCACTCCGTCTGCATGCACTGATCCCCCCATTCCTGGTGTGTGGTGTGGGCGATGCTGGTTCATGGTGGGAAGCAGTCTGAAAGGTCGATGGACACTGGTCTTTGCCTCTACCCGGGCCTGTGGGCTCCTTTCCACACGGAGACCTCCTGTGAACACTGCAGAGGACGACACGCTCCAGCAGCCCAGGCCTCCCGTGGGCCCTTTTTGCTCAAGCTGGCCGTCCTGTGCTGAGCTCAGCTCTTTCTCTTGCCTTGTCAGAGGCCGCTGGTAGTAGCCCACACACACCAGTGCTCTAATTACTCCCATCCTTTTCTCCCCGTGCTGCCAGCTCAGCAGGCCTGCATCTGCCTTGAGTCGCAGTCAGTAAGCAACCATTTTGCCCTGCAAGGTGTGTCGCCCCCCTCTCCTCCCACAGCAGCACCCTGCTGCAGGTCGGCTTCAGCCTGGCTGGAGGGAGCTCTGCGCAGCGCAGACGCCCACAGTCCAACAGCCCAGAGCAAGCTGATGCAGTTTGCAAGGACAGAGGAGCTCTGCTCCATACAGTCACTCAAGGACTCAGTGTCCTTCGAGAATGATGCCACCTCCATTGCCACCAAGTAGAAGAAAGTGACCAGAGCGCATCTGTGGAGAGTTTCAACTGAGATGGCCAACCCCGGAGAAGAGCGTGGTGAAGCTGGGCACAGGGCAAAGCCAGCTGGCCTGGTGTTGTGCCGTGGTCCAGGTGGGGGAAACCGAGAGGAGAGGTTAAATAGGAGATGAAGTGGGCCAGCGACAGGGTGGAGCCTGGGGGTGGACAAGCATCAGGCTGTGCACAGAGGGGCCAACCTCAGGAGCAGACCACACCTTGCCCCTCGGAGCTCAGGGAGGTTCAGAGCGAGCCTGAAACGATCACGTGGAAGTCTGAGTAGCCTGTCGGGGGAACTGCCGTGGTCCTGTGGACAGCACAGCACCTGGGGCACCCCTGACGTGTGGCCTCAAGTCTGAACCAGCAGTGTGATCGTGGCACCTGCTGTCACAGTCGGCACCACCTGGTGTTGCAAAGGAAGGAGGACTGGGCTGCGTGGATGTCTGTGAATGCAGGAGTGACTGCACAGGGGACTGTACGCTGCCAGCTGCAGTCAGGGCGGCGAAGGCCGAGGACGGGAGGACGGCGAGCACAGCAGCAGGTGGACAGGCTGGACTGAGGCTCTGATGGGTGGAGGGGGCGGAAGAGAAGCTGGGCAGGCAGCAGGTGGTGACCAGAGCTCAGTGCCCTTAGACCAGTCCTTCTTGAGTGGGGTGACAGTGATGACGAGATCTGGGGTGGAGCTCAGCAGTGTGTGCCTCAAGCCGAGCCCGTGGAAGTGAGGAAGCCCAGTGACCAGAGGCCCAGGCACCAGGGACCACTGCCTGGGACAGGGGAAGGGTGGTCTAGTGTGTTCACTGACACACCACAGGGGCGTCGCAGTGTCACTGGTGCCCCACCACAGAGGTATCAAAGAGGCATCGGAATGTCACTGGTGCCCCACCAGAGGACAGAGGGGTCGGAAGGAGTAGAAGAAACAGCTGAGGGGGCGTGCACAGACCTGGCAAATGGTGTCGAGTGGGAAAAAGGAGGGGTTTGGAATCAGCATGTGTGCTGTTTGTTTATGTATTTATTCTTCGTTGTTGATGGACCTTATTATTTATTTATTTATTTGTGATGCTGAGAATCAAACCCAGTGCCTCACACATGCCAGGCAAGTGTTCTACCGCTGACCCACAACCTCACCCACGTGTGCTGTTTATGACATTACAGCAAAAGACCCAGGGACACAGGTCACATTCAGCCTGTGCGCCTGGGCAGCACACCCACGAGTTCAGGAGAGCAGGGCCTCCAAGGAGAAGCCCGTGGGTCTGGGAGACACCCAGAGGGACTGCACAGCAGCCACAGCATTGCACTTCTTAAAAACAGAAAGGTCCAAAATAGGCAGCGGAATTAAAGCGTTTGTTAAATTCAGATGGGGAAGCCATGAGGTTTTCTTTCCTCTTACACATATTTGGAATATTTTATAATACTTACTATGAGGCTATGGTGCTGGGCACAGAGGTCTCCATGTGTAGTCCCAGCTACGTGGGAGGCGGAGGCAGACAGGAGGATGGCAAGTTCAAGGCCAGCATGGGCAACTCAGCAAGGTTCTGTCTCAAAACAGAAGGGCTGGGGACATAGCTCAATGATAGAGGGCCCTGGGTGCCATCAAAAAAAAAAAAAGGAGAAGAAGCAGAAGGAGTTGTTTATGGAAGGATATAACCTAAAGATGCCCGTTAACTCATTCAATTGGGAAAAGCATACGGATCAATCATGGGTTCAACTGTATCTGCAAGATCAACTATCAGGAGGGGTCTCTGCATCTTGATATTTGGGGTTGTGTCTGTTTTTTCTTTATTTTTCAAACTGTTATAACAACAATAAAAAACAAAAATAAAAATTTTTCACATTTTTATAACAAACGTGTTGCTTTTTATGCTGGAACAAATCAACTTTGTGAGAACCAGTAACGAGAAGCCTTCCGACTTTGTTTCCAGTTTGCAGTGAGCGCCCTGGAGCACAGAGTGTATGAGGTCCGAGAAACAGCGGTCAGAATCATTCTGGACATGTACAGGCAGCACCAGGCTCTCACTCTGGAGTACCTTCCTCCGGATGACAGCAGCACGCGCAGGAACATCCTCTATAAAACTATTTTTGAGGGATTTGCTAAAATAGACGGCAGGCCCACGGATGCTGAAGTGAAGGTGAGCCGGCCCTCCTGGGTGGTCGCAGGTGCTTAGAGGGGCTGGGTGTGGCTCAGTGGCAGAGCGCTCACCTAGTGCATGTGAGGCCCTGGGTTCCATCCTCAGCACCACACAAAAATAGAATAAAGGTATCGTGTCCACATGCAACTAAAAAACAAATGTTTTAAAAAAAAGAATGTATTTTTAAAAATAAAGTTGCTTAGAACATGAGTAAATAACCCACATAAGGAGCCCTGTGTGCAGGAAGCACAGGGGCCTGGCGAAGGCTGTGTTCCCCAACTCGGGGCCTGACCCCTCTACTCCTGCACGGGAAGCTCACGTGAAGAGTGGTCATTGGCAGTTTGTCAGTAGCCGGGTACCCAGTGGACCTGAGACTTTAACTGTGGTCATGTTAGTGTCAGTGACTGCTGTGGTGTGTAAAACGTACCTCGTGTGCTTCTGTCTGCCAATGTCTGAGACTGCCCCAAAAAGCTACTCTAAAGGAGAAAAAAAATTTTTTTTTAACCAGGCACAGAAAAAAGCAGCCACAGAAGAAGCAGAAAAACAGAAGAAGGAAGAGATCAAAGTTCTGCAGGGGCAGTTGGCCGCGCTGCAGGAGACGCAGGCCCTCGTCCAGGTGGGCAGCTGGCCCGTCTGCCAGATTTTTTCAGTTGGAATTCCCTGGGTACCAACGGGTGCTTGACTGACCGTGGGTTGTGCAGGTGATGGGGGCAGCGCGGGGCTTGGCTGGCGTGGGAGTTAGTCATGCAGGTGACAGTCGCTGTTCTCTCATGTTCCTGAATTGGTTTGGGGGTTGATTTTTTTTAAAAGTCTGCTGGGTAGTAGATGGAATTAGACGTGGAGTATTTGGTTGAATATTCTGCTCTGCTGCCAGGATTATGGAGGGAAGAGACAGGTGAGGGAAATGGGAGGCGAGAGAGCTCCCCGCCTCCTCCAGAGGCAGAGTGAAAACATGCACCCGAATCTGAAGATTGCTGAGCAAGGTTTGGGGTCACCATGCAGTCGAACGGCGTCCTGAGTGGGAGGCCTGGATTCGGTTTGGTCAGATACAAACGTGCTCCTTCCAGGCTGCCCTGCTTCTGGAATTGAAATTAGTTGTGATTCAGTTCCTGAAGTTGAAGGAAAGTTTCCCGTAGGAAGAGAACGTCAGCGAGTCGGGAGGTCGCCTGTGGGTGAAAGCTAGTCACCAGTGTGTGCAGGGCGCTTGCCTGCAGCCGCCTGCCGCCCTGAGCACCGGGCGCAGCAAAGAGGGTGGGTCTGGCACAGTTGTGAAAGGGGACAAGGCATGGTCACCAGTGGGGAAGGGAAACACCCTGCAGAGGAGCGGGGGCCACAGAGCACTTGCTGAGCTGGGCGAAGGGAGCAGGAGGAGCTTCCTTTGCCACTGTGCTGGACGTGTGTGGCCGCTCCTCGGGTTGCCCCCAGGCATGTGGACTCACACCTGTGTTTACAAGTGAGGAGACAGATGTGGCCGACTCACGGGGCTGTTCAGGGCCAGAGCCAGTACAGGGCTGTGTCTGTGTCCCTTTGTGGGCACCAGCCCAGGTGGACTGTGGCCCACAGTGACCTCAGCACTTGTCCCTGATGCTTCTGTTTTGTGTCCTAGGAGAAGGACATCGATACCGTGAGGCCCAAGAATCAGGGTAGGTATTTGCAACCCAGAGGCCACCTAGAGACCCCGAGGGCCCGCAGCAGTGCCAGGGAGGGCCAGCAGCATGTCGCACACCCTCGGCTGTGTGTGGAGCAGCTCTGCCTTTTTAGAAAGTCATTTCCCGGGGACTGTCCCTGAGCTGCAGGTACTTCTCCACAGAACTGGCTCACGTTCTCTCTTAACCTTCAAGGAAGGAAAGCAGTCCCACCTGAGGATCCGGAAATTCCAGATAACCACTACCTGGACAAGTGAGTACTGCCCTGGCCTGCCTGTGGGGCCACGGGGACCCACCAGGAGCACTGAGTACAGACACCTCCTCCCTGGCTCACTTGGGCCAGTCGATTATGGGCTCTCTCCCATGATTTTTAAAGCCTGGAAAATTGCCCTAAGCTGATGGATGAGCTTCAGCTGAGCCCAGCAAGACCGCTGTCCCTTCTTGGCCCACAGAAGTCACCCTGTTTGTCAGAAGTCCTGTGGCTGTGAAGTGCTCTTCACCACTCAGTGACCAGGACCGATGTGCAGGAGACATAGGGAAGTCCCTTCCTGTGTGTCAGTGACCCCAGCACTCCTCCGACTGAGGGGCCTGAGCTCACCCCTGACCGTGGCAGGTCAGGGGTGGAAGGACTGCCTGAGGAAGCCCAGGCCGTCGGGTGGAGGGGTCCAGAGCTTCTCCCGGGCGAGGGCCTGGCCTCCACCTGCTTCTGTTCCCTCAGCCTCTGCATTTTCTGTGGGGAGAGGAGCGAGTCCTTCACAGAAGAGGGCCTGGACCTCCACTACTGGAAGCACTGCCTCATGCTGACCAGATGCGACCACTGCAGACAGGTGAGGCGCTGGCCCCGGCGGCCCTGCGCTGACGTGCATGCCAGGTTTTGAGAGGCCACATCACGGAGTTGTCCCGGGTCTTGGTAGTTTCAGGGGGAGTCCTGAGAAGAGCAGTGGCGGCCTGTGCAGCCCTGGCCTGCAGAGAGGGGGCCCCTCGGGTCCCCACCCTGCCACTGGTGGTGGCTTGGGGGCTTTGTGTGAGTGGGACCCTGCAGCGTGCTGCCCTGCGTGCCAGGTGGATGGACGCCCGCTCTGCTGCGCCCAGGCTCGAGTGCGTGGCAGGTGTTGAGCACCCAGCTGTGGCCCAGCTGCAGGCAGCCGGAGCTCCTGTGAAGCCTCTGCTGTGGCATCTGAGTGCACATGTGCCTTGCGGGGATTGCTGGGCCATGGGCGCTCGGCTGCCAAGCAGGGCCACGCAGTATTGCAGAGTGGCCATGCCAGCTGGAGGCCCCCAGAGACAGAGGCCACCTGGGAGGGGGCACCTGCATGCGCACCTGGAGGCCTCCAGTGCCAGTGCCCCTGCCCTGCGGTGTGAAGCACAGTGCCACTGGGTCCTTGGCCCTCAGCGTCCTCTTCTGTGAAGGGCCTGTGGTCTCCTGTCCTGAGCAGCCAGTCTGTTCCTGGCTTGTGGCCGTCCACACGTGTGAGCCTGAGCCTTGCTGTGTGGAGGAACTGGGCACCTGCTCCCGGTCTCCGCCATCTGCCTGCAGGGCTCCCCTCACCAGTCTGTGGCTCATCCTCTGTCCTCTTTTAGGAACCTGCTCTAAGTTTCCAACGTCTTCTCTTCCACAGCGGCTCTCCTTTTTTTTCCCCTGAGAGTAAAGTAACTATTTTTGAAACGGAAAGGAGTGGCGCTCCCCCAGAGAGGGTCCCAGGCTGGTGGTGGCCGAATTGCCGCTGCCTGGGGTCTACATGGTGTTGCTGGAGGTGATGACTTCTAGGAGGGGAGCTGCTGCCTCCACATGAGACACTCCATGATCACTCCCCTCCAGGCGGGGTGCTGTCCTGTGCTTGGTCACGCGCTGCTGGCCTATCGGAGGCTCTGTCCAGGGAGTGGCTGCAGTGGTGGTCCCCTCCCTGCCTGCCCACCACATTGCTGCACTCAGTCCCCTTCTGAAGAGGTCACTCTGACTTGCCATCAGGGAACTTGGGTGATGGCTGCTCTGGCGCCTTCAAGCTGGACAGGGCGTCGGCAAGGGCATGGCAGCAGGTCCTCCACGGAGCCTCCAGGGGCCCCTAGTGGGTGGAATTCTGTTTGGGGTTTTACTGGAAGAGCCATTTGTAGCTTGGGCCTCTCTGCCTCAGGGTGGCCTGGAGGTCGTGGTGGCAGTGGCATGTGACTGGACAAGGCACACACAGGGCAGGGGTCATGCCAAGACAGCAGTGGACAACACAGTGGAGCCTTGTTGTCTGTGAACAATTAGTACAGAAACGGTCAGTATCATCAGCCAACCCTGAAAACCATGAAGACAGCGACTCATTATAAGTTTAGGCTGGGGTCCAACGTGTCATTGATCCGTGACACCATTTACAATTGAGAAACACAGCAGAGCCGGGCACAGTGGTACACACCTATAATCTCAGCAGCTTGCAAGGCCGAGGCAGGAGGATTGAGAGTTCAAAGCCAGCCTCAGCAACTTAGCAAGGCTCTTAGCAACTCAGTGAGACCTTGTCTCTAAATAAAATATAAAAAGGGCCGAGGGTGTGGCTAGGCACATCTACTGCAGTTAGGTTTTACAGTGACAGGCCTTCTTTCTTAGAGAACCAAGTGGACAGTGGACATCTGTCCTTTGCTCTGAGACTCAGGCCCACAGGAAGGGGTTTGTGGGCAGAGTTGCCCTCAGAGCTGTTGCCCCTCCCCTGGGAGCACAGACTGACCCCCCCCACACCAGTGAGTGGAGCCTTAGCACTAAGTTCTAGAGGGCACACAAGTCATTCCTGCCAAAGGTGTCGGGTGAGAGGACCCAGCTTCTGGGCACATCCTTAGAAATGCTGGAGACGGGCTGGGGCACAGGTCAGTGGCAGAGCACTGCTTGGCTTGCTTCAAGTTCTGGGTTCAATTTCTAGTACACTCCCCCAAAAATATCTTTGCCCGTTATGGTGGCACACGCCTGCAACCCCAACTACTGGGACTACCCAGGAACAGAAGGCTGAGGCAGGAGAATCACAAGTTCAAGGTCAGCCCAGACAACTGAGTGAGACCCTGTCTCAGAGGAGCTGGGAATACAGCTGCCCCTGGTGGACGCTGGTCACACAGAGCACCCCCAGGTCCACCCTCAGGACCACAAAAAAAAGAGAGAGAAAGCAACGCTGGGGAGCCAGGCCTCGAGCCCAGGGCACACATTCAGCCACGGGCTGCTCTGCCCCAGGAGCTGGTCATACTCAACTGCAGCCCCCGTGCCTGCCTCTTGGCACAACCTTGAGTGGTACCAAGGTGACATGACAAGTGTGACAGATGACTAGAGTCACACACCACAGAGGTTCTCTGGCTTGCCTTCATGTGGGAATGACAGAGAAGCTGTCCTGCGTTACGGGCCCCAGCTCTGCAGGTGGCCCTGGCAGGACAGACCAGCGTCTAGCAGCACCCTGTGTCTCGGAGTCCAGGTGGTGGAGATCTCCAGCCTGACAGAGCACCTGCTGACAGAATGTGACCAGAAAGACGGGTTTGGCAAATGCCACCGCTGCAGCGAGGCCGTGCGGAAAGAAGAGCTGCCCAGGCACATAAAGGCGAAGGAGTGCAATCGTGAGTGTCCCCGGCCACCGCGTGTCCCCTGGGCAGGGCAGCTGCAGCAGGGTGTCGCAGGGACCTGTGTGTGGTTAGTGTCTGCCAGGCAAGCAGGCAGTCCCTGCGCCCTGCTCCAACTGCCACAAGTCGCCCAGTCTTTTCCATTTCAATCATTTCAGCTGCCAAATCAGAGAAGCTGGCCAACCGGTGTCCCTTGTGCCATGAGAATTTCACACCTGGAGAAGAGGTGAGGGGCGTTCCCCGGGGGAGTGAGCACCATGGAGGTGAGCACACCCTTAGCCGCTGCCTGCGGTGCTGGTGCTGGCCACAGCTGAGGTGTCCAGGGTGACCCTGTCGGAGCAGGGTGCCACTCACCTGCCTCTTCCCATGACTTCGTGCCCTCACCTTTATCCACAGTTTACTTGAAGAGTCTCACCTGGTTGGGATTCCAGCATCACGTGGTTTGGGGGTTTGGGGTCATTGCTTTCATCTGTTGGGGCCCCTGGGCAGGGTCTATAACACTGGCCCTGGGTTTATTGGTGAAGAAGACTTGGCCCAGTTGGTGAGGCAGCCTACCTCTTACCCCAGACCAAGCGCTCCTCTCCACCCTGCCCATGCTGCAGTGTGACTTGAGGGCTGGTGGGGAGGGGCAACTCTTCCATGCCCACCACCTCTTCCCACGTCTCCCTTCTCAGGTGACAGGGGCACCCAGGCTCTGCGCAGTGTGCTAGTGCTACCTCTGTGTGCCGGACAGGGCAGGCCGGCCCTGGAGACCCGCTTTTCTCCTCTCCCACTTTCTCAGTTCTTGTCTCCTGCCATCCACTTGCTGTCGTGATGCTGGACTCTCCGTGTCCCAGCAGATGGCTCAAACCAAGCAGTCCCTCAACCACAGAAAGCTCACATAAAGCAGGAAAGATGCTGTCCCCAAGCACACTCTGCCAGGGTCCTACCCGCCCTGCCTGGTGCGCTCGCTCTTCCCTCCTCTCCAACCTGCAAGTTTCAAATGCTCACAAAGTACACAAAAGAGTAAAAGAGCTCTCAGGTGCCCTGCAAGCACTGTCCCTAGCCTGTCCCCCCTCTGCCCCACGGGCTCCCCGCCTCTCATCGCGGTCCAGACGGCGCCTGGTCTTACCCACAGGTGTCTTTTTTTTTTTTTTAGGTGTAGATGGGCACAACACAATGCCTTTATTTTTTATGTGGTGCTGAGGATTGAACCCGGGTCCCGCCTGTGCTAGGCGAGCACTCTACCGCTGAGCCACAATCCCAGACCCCCACAGGTGTCTTAGTGCAGAGCTTTCACATAGCACCTGCTGACTGGACCTTGTGCCCAGTGTCCCTGGTGCACAGTGTGGAGCACCCATGTCCCAGGGCATGGAGCACACCTTGCTGTCAACAGTTCTCTCTTCTTCCAGCCTCTGATGAGGAAAGGCCCTGTGGCCTCTGGGGTCTCTGTAGGCTGAATGTTCTGAGTGTGTCCTCCTGTGTCCTGTGCTCATCAGGTGCAGAGCTGGGGTGGCCATGGCGGGCTCTTCCATCGGAGGCGGCAGAGTGTTCTGATTCTGCCCCTCCATCCACAGCCAGAATGTTCCTTAAGCAGAAGCACACCTGTTCTGTCACCACCTGAGGTTGTATTCTGCATGAGAAAGGCACAGGAGCACCTCAGTCCCTTAACATAGCCAAGTCAGTGGCATTTTCCAGAGGGACTGGAAGGAGGTGTCAGAAAAGGAGGTCCAGGTAGCAGCATGGGCTGGGCATGTGGGGACACTGCAGTGGAGACCCTACCTCCGCCAACCCACTCCTCTGCACTGGGCTCCCGGCCTCTGGCCTAGCCCTAGCAGCCCAGGTGCTTCTCCTGCCTGGTGCCATGTGCCCCGGCGGGCTCCCACATGCAGGCTCCTCACTGCTGCTGGGCGGGTCCTGTTGCCAGGCTGCTCAGTGACCCGAGAGTCTCCGCCTCACTCTCCTGGCCACGGCCTCTTCACCTTGCTGCCTATGTCTGTGTCCTTTGTCCATCCTGAGAGCCCCACTCCAGTGACCCTGGAGACACAATTAGGGCGTGGTCGGTGGACCCTGCTTTCTGCCCCCCCCCCCCCCAGGGAGACAGTGCTGTTCAGGGAGACTCGATCTGTTCCACACCTAGTCTGAAAGTGACACAAGTAGGATCCGCTGTCCCAGGTCACTTGGCTTAGCTCCAGTTGGTCATGCCTCCCACAGTGAACGTGTAAACTGAGTTCCATGACCATATAGGATTCGTGTCTCCCAGATCTTTACAATCATCCATGTGGCAAGAAGAGCACAGCAAGGCCGCAGCTGCTGTACTGTCCCCTGCTGCCCCTCCTGGGACTAGCCTTGGTGTGCTCTCTCGTCTTTACTGTGAGTGGGTCTCACGCATGTGGAGAAGCACTCTCTCCTGCCTGGAACCCAGAACCTCTGCTTCTCCATTCTGACGGCGGCCTCACTGACCTGCTCCTGTGGTACCCATAGTCCCTCTGGGCTACTGTCTGCAGCAGGCAGCTAGTGGCCTCCTTCCTCACCACCTTTTCCCCAGCATCTGACCGGCATCAGTGCCGCCATTGTGGTTGGCAGTGGCTGCAAGGCAGCCAGAAGCTCCTGCCGGCTCCTACCAGTAGTGCCCTCCCCACACTGCCTGCCTGTGCTCATGGCATGGCCTCGGGATCCACAGCAGGAGCAGGTGATTGACCTCCCTGGCTTCCCTGAGCCGCCTCTCCTCACTGTTGGCCGGGCTGCGGACCTGGCTAGGGAAGCACCCACTTTCCAGCAGCTGGCAGGAATATCTCCTTGTGGTCATCCAACTGTGTCCCTGTTCTCCTGCCAGCTGTCAGCCAGGGCCTCTCCCAGCTCCAGGACCCCTCGGCCCAGTAGCCCTACCCATAGGTTTAGCATGCAGCCCCCTCCCTCCAAGCCAGCAGGGGAGGGATGAGCCATGTGCTCTTGCTGCTGACCAGCCAGGTGAGCCTGGGAGGCACCCTCGCTTTAGCCACAGGAAGGTCTGTGGGCCTGGAGGGCCCAGGGCAATGTCTGACGGAGTGGGCTGGGGCAAGGCAGAATGCAGCCCTGAGACGGGTCACGTGACCAGTGGCCGTGTCTTAAGATGGTGGTCTGGGGTGAGGGGTGTGGCTCAGTGGAAGACCACTTTCCTGGCATGCACAAGACCCTGGCTTCCATCCTCAACACCACAAAAATACATGTAAAATGCACATGGGGCACCTCGGAGAGCACAGCACAGTGCTGCAGGGAGCTCGGGTAGAGACTGGGGATAGCCAGGCCCTCCTGCAGGGCTGTGTGTGTGGCACATGCTCTGTGTACCCCAGCAGCACCCCTCATGGCCCTGAGGGAGCCCAGAGCACCCTCTGGCCAGGCCGTGTGAGCGCACACTCCTTAGGGCCTCAGGTGAGGTGCTTAAGGAGAAGCGAAGATGAGGAGAGTGCAGCCCAGCAGGCCCAGGGGTGCTCTGCCTCGCCCCCAACCACACGCATGTGCACACTCTCACGAGGGCCTCCCCCTGTGGTAGCACACAGGGGCTGGGCACAGGACCTCTGCAGCTCTGGAGCTCCGTGTCGACGGAGCAGTGAGTCGTCCTGGTGGTCAGGTGGGGCCTGCCACTGCCTCCTCTCGCTGCAGGCATGGAAGGTGCACCTGATGGGCCCTGCCGGCTGCACGAGGAACCTCCGCAAGACACACATCCTGCACAAGGCCCAGGCTGCGCTCCCAGGTGAGGTTCACGCCCATGCGGGCCTTGGGGCCATCTTGATCAGTGGCCCTGGCTGTGTTCCGGTTCCCTAATGAGGAGCAAGTCAATCATGCCACAGCCCCTCTCCGTCCACTGTGGCTGCTTCTCCCAGGTCCCAGAGAACTGATCCACAAGGCCAAGCACTCCTGGGTGCCATGCTGCTCCTCAGCACTGCCTGTGGGACTGCCTGAAGGATTTAGGAACAAAGAGACCTGCAGAGCCTTAGACCCTGCAGAGCCACCCGCCCATGCTGGAGACTTCTGCACGCTTACCTCAGGCGTGCCGCGTCGGGAGGGGGTGGTATCTGCGGCAGCAGGTCTGTGCTGGCTCCATGCTGAGGCGCTCGTGCAGAGGTCATCCCCCTCCAGTTCTTACAGATAGGTGGACAGGGCCCAGGCCCTCAGCCAGGAGGCTGGCCTCGGTGCACAGGCACCCTGCTGCGTGCCGAGGACTGGGTTCTTAGAATGACGGTCAGGTAACTGGCCCTGTTCTTGTTCCCACCCCGGATGTGTCTGCACCCCTGAGACTGTCCTGTCCTGCTGCCACCTGAGCACCTGCACCTGTGGCCTTGCACAGCTCCTCACGCTGCACTTGTTGTGGTCAGCTTTTTTCCTTCTGTGACCAAAAAAATCTGACAGGGACAATTTTAGAGAAGGAAAAGTTTATTTGGGGCTCACAGTTTGAGGTCTCAGTCCAGAGATGGCCGACTCCACTGCTCTGGGCCTGAGGCAAGCAGCCATCCTGTGGTGGAGGAAGGCAACCCAGGACATGGCAGCTGGGGAGACAGACTAAGCTCAGTTCATGAGGGACAGAATCCACCCCCAGTGACCCACCTCCTCCAGCCTACAGTTACCACCCAGGTATCCCCTGCGTGGGTAACGCCCTGATTAGGGTGAGGCGCTCGGCCTGACAGCTCACCTCTCTTGTCTTCAGGAGACACCATAACTCCACCTCTGTGCACTGTGCTGACACCTCCAGGCTGGGAGACATGGTCCCAGGCCTCTCAGGCCCAGCTGCTCAGGGTGGGTTCCTCCCGCCATTCACATTGCCACCATGGGCATGAGTCACCATCCTAATGTAGTCCCGTGTCGTGTGTGTCTATGCCACAGGAAAAGGCCTCGCAGGGACCAAGTCAGGCAGCTCAGGAGCCAAGTCTGGAAGCAAGATCCCCACCCCAAAGGGAGGCCTGGGCAAAAGCTCCAGCAGGACACACACAAAGCGGTGACACGGGACTTTCCGTGCCCTGTCCACCAGGGACTGGGCAAGTGTTCCCAAACCATTTCTCCTAAAACTCTTCTGGACGCACCACCCTGTCTCTGTCCCTGCTGCCCTAGGCCTCTCCTGTGCCAGCTCTCTGCTGTCCTACAAGTGATGTATGTGAATCTGACCAAAGAGCCCCACCGTCGGGGGGGGGGGCCGCCGCCCTGCGTGCTGAGCTCCAGGCCTGATTTCTATTAGGACAGAGGCACATGGGCCAGAAGCCACTGCTCGGGGAGGATCGGCACACGGAGCATATTCCTCCTTGCTGCCTGGAAAAGTCACCGAAGCCTGTGGCACATGAGTCCTCGTCGCACATGGCAGACTGTGCAGGGCACGAGCTCACTACAGTGCCCCGTGGCCCCGGGAGGGCAGAGTTCAGAACGAGCATCTGACTGTGCTTTTCCTCAAGCCCATCGGTCTCCACTCAGCCCAAGTAGTCACAGGGAAGCAAGGCCAGTGTCTGCAGGACTGTGTCCACTGTGGCAGGAAGTGATGGTTAAGAAGAAAACCTGGAAAGCAGATCCTGAAATGACCCCGTCAGCACGTGCCCTGCTCCCGGCTTGCTTCCTGCCGCAGGCTGGTCATGCCTTTGCCTGGGCCTGCAGCTGCTCTGCACTGGCAGTGTCCCGAGGAAGGAGTGTGGAGTGACTTCCCAGTGACCCTGCACTCACCTGGCCACAGGACGCCCGTCTCCAAACCTGTTTTGTTTCTGCCTACAGCATCTTCCACGTCTGCTGACCCACCAGAAGCATCCCACGCACTCCGCAGGCCCAGCCCCTCGGCCAGGTCTGTCCTCCATCCTTCCTTGCCATACTGTACCTGGGACCACAAGTCCACCTGTTTCCAGCAGTTCACACCAAAGCGCTGCTCAGGAGATGACACAGCCCTCAGAAGCAGTCTCCTCCACAGCTCCTCCACCCTCCCCAAAGGAGGCCTAGGCTTCCTTGTTAGACCTGCTATTTCCCACAGCTGCGTGGAGAGGCCCAGGACCATCTGGAACCTGCCGGAAAAGCCCCAGTACATCCTCACCTCATTGTGCTGTCTCTGCGCCCAGGTGCCCAGTCCACCAGTGGCCAGGGTTGTGCTTGCTCCCTGAGGCCACACAGTAGGCTTTCAGAATGCGCCACTTAGGAGTGTTTGGACTGAGGAAATGAGTATGGTGCGATTAGTGTATGAGTGTTTTTAATTCCCAACCATGTGAAACCACAAAAGGTATGGTAACCAACAGCCTCATGAGCCCCGACTCCTGGGTATGTTAATAACCATTAATCACTTCAGTTCCCAAACTAGTACCTCCATTAGGGTTGTCTCGGAGTACTGGGTGAGAACAAGGCCTACCTATTAGACGTCTTTCAGGTGTGGGAGAAAGAACGTAAACTGTGTGGGACACGGCACAGCATGCTCCTTCACTTCCAACATGGCGGCCTTGGTTTCTAACTGCCCCCCCCCCCCCCCAAGTACAGGTGAGACACTTTAAGTAAAATAAGAAAAGTTAACCAAGGAATTATTCTTTTCTCTTTGAACAAAACTTCAGAAAGATACATGTAATGTTTTCTGCTCTAACTTAAAGAAGATATTTGTAAAAATACTTCATTTTTAGTGATTGATCAACAAAACTGGGCTCCTCCGCTCTTTTGCTGGTGACAGAAGAATCGTGTGCTTTGCTGAAATGATCCTAGCAGTGAGGAGTGGCCACTGAAGTTTTCACACAGTTACACACTATCCAGGGACCAGGATTAAAGGGAGAAAATATAAATGGAACCACAAGATCCCTCAGCCATTCATAAATAAATATCTAAATTCAGAATACTAATTAATAATTGAATTTTCATTTATGAATAGGTTCTGGATATTTAATTGTATTTATTATTTTCTACTTCAGGATATTAATATAATTTAAAAATTTTAAATTGTACCTATAAATTTCACATTAGAAATGTAAATACTTTTAATGAAAATTTGCAACTTTTTAATGTTTTAACAGTTTTCTATTTATCTTTATTTCAGGTACCAGAATTATAAAATAAATAATATATTTTTTGTTATTATTTTAGGGCTTAAGGGTTAATTCACCTTGAGTATATTAATAAAAAGATCGCTAAGGTTTTGTCACTTTTATTTCAAGATTATAATTGAAAAGCACTCTGTAAATAACTTTGACATTAGTGATCACACATGTAGCTCAGCCTGAAACTGAGGGTGGCAGGTTGGAAACCACAGAGGAGGGAGGCAATTGGGGTCCAGCTGCTGGACCAGTCGTCCAATGGGCTTGTGCTGGAGAAGCTAGAAGACTTGTAGCAGCTACATAGACTGAACTGTTGACCAGCTCCCTCCTGTGGGAAAACCCCAGAATGCTCAGTGTGTCCACTAACTAGGCTCAGAATGTCCTGTGTCCTCCAGCTGCGCGCCCAGGGGAGGTTGCACCACGTGGTCCCCGTGTCTTCCGCCTTTTCTACCAACCAACAAGGTTATTTGATCTTCAAATAAGATCATATGCAGCGTTTTCTCCACATGGTGCAGAGTGGTTTCTCGGTTTGTCAGCTTTCGTAGTGGTTTGATTATATATTATATAAGTGATTTTATAATTATTCCCATATTAAAGTCTTGTATGTGCAGCTTTGTCCTTTACACAGGTACAGGTGAACTTAAAACTTAAGTTCAAATGTATTGCTTCAAAATTGGGAGCTGACTTTGGCTAATGCTGCGTGTGCTTTGTAGAGTGCGAGGTGGGAAGGTGTCTGGAAAAGGCACCACTTGCTGCCCAAGACAGCGGCCTGGGGTCTGGGGCTCCAGCACATACACAGGGCTCACGCCCACCCAGGTGCCTTCACAGTGCACTCTTCGAATTAGGTATTCTCCATTATGTCGTTGCCTGTTGGTTCTTGGAGATGAAATTTGTTCTGAAATGATCCCGTCCCCTCATCATTCATGACAGCATTGAGCACTGGCACGTCCCCTGTAGTCTCTACCTGCCCCCACTGTCACTTAGCTCCTGCTCCCCAGCAAGTCTGGAACCCTGGCCAGAGTCCTCATCTGGAAAGCTGGGGAGGTCCAAGCCGTGTTAGGAAGGTCAGGCAGGGTTTAGGGACCCTGTGAGCTGCTGCTGCAGGGACCGGGAAAGTCCCAGAAGTTGTCCCATGAGCCCTTAGCCTGGCCTCATTGCAACCATTCCAGAACCCACGGCCAGGAGTATGGTCCTTAGTGACAGCCCTGGGAGCTGGGTTCCAACACTCACACTGCACAGCCGGGCGGCAGGGCCCACCCTGGGTGAATCTGAAGCCTCTGCTGCCTCCACGCCCCTTCAGAGGGACTCCCTGGTCTGAGCGTGTGCAGAGGAACTTGGGAGGCTGTCTGGACCTTGAGAGACCTCGGAGCTTCTGACCCGCTCACACGGCCGACTCGGCCTCAGTTTCTGGTCCTAGAGTGGAGCTGGGGCCCTCCTACGCCCTGGAGAGAACCCACGTCCTCTAGACACTCCCCTGGTGCTGCATTCCCGGCGACTGGGAGGCTGCGGCACAGGACCACAAGCTCCAGGCCAGCCTGGTCCTGTCTCAAAATAAAACCCAAAACGGGCTGGGGTGCAGCTCCAGGGTAGAACTCCCGGGGCTCAGCTCTCAGTGCTTGTCACCGTCCTGCTGTCACCTACCTTCTCCTTCCCACCATCAATAGGCCTACCTACCTACCTATCGCTCCAATCACTAGGAATGATCCAGACAGTGCATCCAGCCGGTATTCTAGAGTCGGGGTGTAGCTGGCGGTGACTGGCGTCCGCCTGCGGGCTATCTCTGCGCCGCGGAGGCCCCCTCACGCCCTACAGGCCCCCGCGCGCCGCGCTAGCCGCGCACGTTGGGCCCCTGTCTCTGTGGCACGCACTGCCGCTCTCTAGCCATCGGACGGGCTCTCTATGACCTCTTCCGGCATTGGCCGGAAGTGGCGCGCTGCACCCCGGAAGCCCCGGCGCGCGCGGCGGCAGGCGGCGGCGCGATGGCGGCGGCTGCTGTGTCCGAGCCCTGGCCGGAGCTGGAGCTTGCGGAGCGTGAGCGGCGGCGCGAGCTGCTGCTGACGGGCCCGGGGCTGGAGGAGCGGGTGCGGGCGGCGGGCGGGCGGCTGCCTCCACGGCTCTTCACGCTGCCGCTGCTGCACTACCTGGAGGTGAGCGGCTGTGGCAGCCTGCGCGCGCCGGGGCCGGGCCTGGCGCAGGGCCTGCCGCAGCTGCACAGCCTCGTGCTGCGGCGCAACGCGCTGGGGCCCGGCCTGAGCCCTGAGCTGGGCCCGCTGCTAGCGCTGCGCGTGCTCGACCTGTCGGGCAACGCGCTGGAGGCGCTGCCGCCGGGCCAGGGCCTGGGCCCCGCGGAGCCGCCGGGGCTGCCACAGCTGCAGAGCCTCAACCTCAGCGGCAACCGGCTGCGCGAGCTGCCCGCCGACCTGGCGCGCTGCGCCCCGCGCCTGCAGAGCCTCAACCTCACCGGCAACTGCCTGGACGCCTTCCCCGCCGCGCTCTTCAGCCCAGGCGCGCTGCCCCTGCTCAGCGAGTTGGCGGCCGCAGACAACTGCCTGCGAGAGCTCAGCCCCGACATCGCGCACCTGGCCTCGCTCAAGGTCAGCGGGGGCCGCGGAGCGGGAGGGAGCCCGGAGGCCGCCGCCCGCAGGGACCCAGGCGCTCCGGGGTCTCCGCGGGGCGTTTCGAGTGTTAGCCGACTTGGCTTCTCCTTCAGGTCGGGAGCAGGTGAAGAGAGGAACCCGTGTCCAAGTTTCTCGTATTTGTGAACCTACTGAGCCCCAAAGGAGTGGGGGACATCAGTCGAGGCACAAACATCTGAAAGAACTGCAGTTAGCATCATAGGCATCACGCTGCACCCGGTGTCTCACAGGACCCCGGCCACTTCCTTCTGAGGTTGCGGTGGCCGGTCAGGTTTCTCTGAAAGCCCAAGGGCTTGCCTGAAGCAAACAGCTCTGGGTGGCTCCCCAGCCCCAGCACACTGCCCGGCCCACAAGTGCCCATTAAGTCTGTTGAGTGCCATAGGCGTCCAGAGCCACAGCTAACTCCATTCTGGGTTTTTTTTCTGCATCTTCCCTTTTCGTTGGTCCTGAGCAAAGCAGTCCTGCATTTCTTCTTCCTCCTGCTTCTCATCCTTGAGTTTATGGAACAGTTTCTTAATGAAAGGTGTATACTGTTTAGCGACTGAACTTGCAGGGGACACCACTGCTGAACGGGGCACTCGTCTTGCAGACATGCTTGTGTACAGACGCATCTGTGCATGCAGTGGGGGGTGAGGAGACAGGCAGGCACTTAGCAGAACCACCTGGCCTTGCTGGCGTTCCTGAAAAGCTGTGGGTGTGTCTCCTGAGGTGTCCTGATCCTCTGGAGCTATCGTGTTCCTCTGCTGCTGAGGTTGACACTGCACACTTGTACTGTCTGCTCTACCTGCAGGCTGAGAGGCCTGTGTGGCTCCTGGAAGGCTGTGGAGCCAGGTGTGCCTCCCCATGCAGAGCCTCAGGCTGTGGGCACAGTCAGTGACTGCCTGTGACAGTCACAGGGGCCTGCAGATGGTTGTGTTCAGCTGGCTGCAGGCTGGGCCTTAAGGCTCAGAGCAGGACTAGCATCCTGCTGTAAGGAAAGCCCAACCCAGGACAGAACACCAGGAGTACCACTTAGTTAGGGAGCAGAGTAGCAGCACAGAGGCTGCAACTTGTCCACTCCTTTCCTAGTTGGGGGAAGGTACAAGTGCATGGGCTCAGGCAACAGGAAGACCCTGACCCTCTTCCCCACCCCAGCTGCTGAGACAAGGAAGCCAAGGAGCTGGCTGCCCCCTTCTGGGCTTTACCTCCTCGGGTAGCTGCCTGCCGATGGGCCTGGCTTCATCTCCCTGGCCTTGGACCCATTTAGCTCGATTTCCTGGGGGAGACCCGAGAGAACCTGGGGTGGCCTTCGTCCTCTTCTTCCCAGGTTCTGTGACCCGGTGGGTTCAGTGCCAAAGTTGTGGAATGGGGCATTTCATTTCTGCCTGCCTGCTTCTAAAGTGGCTACCACCCAGGCCTGTGGTGCCGCCAGCCGGGGCTGCTGGAGCAGACGGGGCAGCGCCTCCATCAGCACAGGCCCCCTGGGGATCTCTCCTGCCCAGGACCAGTCTCACTGGAGCTCACACAAGGACTTAAGTCACGTGTCTTTCATCCGTGGAAGAGGAAGCTTGCGTTCAGCTGGGATTTTGTGGAGTGACGAGGTTTTATTCTACTGGAGTTCTCTGGTACTTCCACCAAAGCCCCTTTGAACAGCCAGAAGCCTCCATGTTCAGCATGTGCCGAGCAGGCTGTATACAGACAGACTGCTGCAAGCTGACTGTCAAACCCCTTGCCAAGGCACAGAGGCTCCTGGGCTGGCCCCATCCTGCTTTAGACCAGCCCCAGCTCCTAGTGCTGGAGTGGGGAAGGCGGGGGCTGTGAGCCTTAGAACCCTGCTCAGAACCAGGGCCTGCTTCCCGTGTTGCCTGCTAGTGGTACTGTTAGTGACACTTGAAGGGCCCTGCCTCCAGTGGAAATGGCTGCCAGGGTAGGTGCCCCACCCAGGCCTCCCTGCAGAATGGAAGAAACCTGGGGCACAAGGTGAAGGTCAGGCATCTAATCTTGGGGTCCAGGATCGAGTGGGAAGCCCCATACCCCAGATGGGCTGCTTTCAGAACAGGCACAAGCTGCCCATGTCCCCTGTGGGCCACCTGTAGAAGGTACATGTGAAACTTCAGTGGGTTTTGTATTTAAATAAGAGATCTCATTACATCCGAGCAGAGGCTCCAAAACCTGAAAGAATCCGAAATCCTAAACACTTCTGGTTCCATGCATTTGGGACAAGGGACACCTGTAGTGACAGTTATATTAGATGCGCTAATCCAGTTCATTGACCGTTCTGGGGCTGCCTAGTTGGGGCCTTGGTGGCACCCCAGTCGCTCCAAGGGACACCGCATGTTAAGGCTTAGGTTCTAGCATCCGTGAGCAAAAAAGGCCCTCCAGGGCCACTGCTAGGCCCGTACTTGTCAGGAAGAAGCACAGGGCAGGGCGGGCCTCTTCACCACCTGCCACAGGGGACGGGAGAGGCTCTACACACAGGTCCTCCTGTGCCCCCTCCAGTGCCGAGGACAAGCCATGAAGGTGGAAAGGGCCTTGCGCTCGTTCAGGGTGTCAGTGTGGTGGCCCCGACACCTTTCCTGGGTCCTCCATCGCTTCAGTCCTCCCTCCCACAGGAGGCACAGAGTGGTGGGCATGGTGGCCACACAGTGAGCCACACTGAGGGGGAGAGGCGGTCAGGGTTCACCACATTTGTTGTTGCCCTTTAAAAACAAAAAAAATAGCCCCCTGAGGGGAACTTTCTCTGGGAAGAATTACTGGTTTGTTCCTGAAGCAGGGTACATCCCCAGCCAGGTCCCGCTTCCTGTTCCCTTTTCCTGCCACTTAATGATGGAGCCTGGACCCTGGAGCAGTTGTCACAACCTTAGTGGAGCAGGACGAGTTCTCAGAGGTGCTGTCCTGCCGGCCACTCCCTGCTGGAGAAGCACCGTGGGTTGGTGCTGTCCTTGCAGGTTGCAGGGGTGGGGCGGTCATTGCTGGGTCTTTCTCGCTGACCCAGGTGCCCGTCGTGAGAGCCCGTGCACAGGTCCTCTCCAGCTTGGCCAGTGTGCTGTCTTTCTCTCTGCAGACCCTGGATCTCTCCAACAACCAGCTAAGCGAGATCCCTGCTGAGCTGGCCGACTGCCCCAAGCTCAAGGAGGTCAACTTCCGAGGAAACAAGCTTCGAGACAAGCGCCTGGAGAAGATGGTCAGCGGCTGCCAGACTAAGTCCATCCTGGAGTACCTGCGTGTTGGCGGCCGGGGCTGCGGCCGGGGCAAGGGCAGGGCAGAGGGTGCTGAGAAGGAAGACGGCGGGAAGAAGAGGAGGGAGCGGAAGCAGAGGCGGGAGAGTGGCGAGGGGGAGGAGGAGGTCACCGATGCCGCCAGGCTGCTGCTCAGGGTCCTCCATGTCTCTGAAAACCCCTCGCCCCTGACGGTCAGAGTGAGCCCCGAGGTCAGGGACGTGCGGCCATACATCGTGGGGGCTGTCGTGCGGGGCATGGACCTACGGCCCGGAAATGCACTCAAGCGCTTCCTGACCTCCCAGGTGGGGGCACTGGCTCGATACATGGGGTGGGTGTGGGAGGACATCCCAGGGCCACTGAACAGCTGGACAGGCGGGTGGCCGGCCTCTGCGTTGCTCCGGGACTCAGCCTTGCAGTTCGTTCAGGCTGCTGGCTGAAGACAGTGGGTCTTGGGACTCCACCCGAGTCGCACATGGAGCTCATGGGAGGTGCTCGGGTGCCGGCCAGCCCTGTTTCCTGGGTGGTGTTTTGCTGTGAGTCTGCCCAGCTTTTAAAATAAGAGCCCCTCCTTGCCCAAGGGAGGCTTCTGGGCAGTTTTCCTTGTTGGCTTCTGGTTTTTCAGCCACAAGTTTTAGCTCAAGGTGGGTTCTTCAGATGCATGTTCTAGAATTAGAGAAAGAAACAAGGCCCCAGGGAGCAGATGAGGCAGCTCTGCTGTCCCTGCTCCCTGAGAAACGCTCAGCAGGTGAGGCACGGACAGGTGTGGGGCCTGGGCTGGTCAGGGCATGTGGACACCTGGGGTGCCGGGGCCACTGAGGCCTACAGTCTCACTGTCGTGTTGCAGACCAGACTCCATGAAGACCTCTGTGGGAAGAGGACGGCAGCCACCATTGCCACCCATGACCTGCGTGCCCTGCGGGGACCCTTGCTGTATGCCACTCGGCCACCCCAGGACCTCAAGGTGCCTTCACTGCCCACTCGGTCTGTGTCTCCAGGTTCTCCTTGGTGTCCTTCCACATGATGCGGTGCTGACGGCTTGAAGCCAGGCATTCCACAGTGGTCAGCATGTGCAGAGTGGAGTGGGGAGCATGCCTGCTGCGACCACTCTTGGAGCAGCTGCGGAGCTGTCCAGACTCCTGGGGGGATGGGACTCTAAAGAGGTCTCCTTCCTTTGTTCACTTTTACCCAAAAGTGCCACCGTGGGCCAACTTGAGTGTGAGTTGTCAAATCAAGGTGCCGCCCTGGTCTGTTTAGTTTTGTGCATTGCGCCTGTGTCCTCAGCAGGTGGAGGGCCTCCTGCCCAGGCTGTGTGTCTGACCTAGCTCCCTCTGGCTGCCAAGTGCCACCTCTCTGTTGGCCTTCTGAGGCCCTGCGTACTTGGAAACAGTTGTGCTTTAGCCGGGTTAGAGGAGAAGCCCAGCTTCAGAGGAATCTGAGCGTCAGGCACTCAGGTCCCAGTGGGGTGGCTAGAGAGACCGTTGCACACAGGTCCTCACAGTGACCATGTGGGGCTTGGCAGGCAGGCTCCTTCCTGGTCAGTGTGATTTCCACTCGGGCAGCTGGGCAGCTCTCTGGAGGTCAGCAGGGGAGGGTGGAGGATTACTGATGCGTAAATGCAGTGGGCTGTTGTCCGAACTGCCTCTGGGTTTCTCCCTGACAGATTGTCCCCTTGGGGCGGAAGGAAGCCAAGGCCAAGGAGCTGGTGCGGCAGCTGCAGCTGGAGGCTGAGGAGCAGCGGAAGCAGAAGAAGAGGCAGAGCGTCTCGGGGCTGCACCGGTGGGTCCGCCAGCTCCGTGGGCATTTCTGGCCACCACTTGGTCAGCTTATTCCTCAGCAGGTTCTTAAAGCTGCCAGAACTTGAGTTTTCTCAAAGGTGTAGAACAGAAAATCAGTCTCCCCAGACTTCCCTCAGAAAGAGATGTGAGGCCCTCTCACCTGCGTGGACCCAGGCCCGTCGTGGGAAGTGGCCTGCTCCAGGGGAAGCTGGCAGGTGCCGGGTGTGGATGCTTGACAGAAGCAGGGTGGCCCCTGGGACAGGACAGGATGTAAATTGCCAGTCAAACCCACAGCGCCCTCAGCCTCGGGCACCGCTGGGGGGGTCTGTTGGCAAACACAGGTGTGGGGCATCGGCTACTCCTGCGTGCGCGGCCGTCTGGAGCAGGCAGAACTTGTGCCTTAGTGGTGTTTGGTGCGTCTAGACGACTTTCCAGTTTAATCCAGTTTAGCCTGTTTGCACTTTACAGTGGTGCTAGGTGTCGAATCCAGGGCCTCGCCTGTACTAGGCAAGCCCTGCACCTGACGCACAAAGCCCTGTTTATTTTGTTTTGAGACGGGGCCTCCCTCAGTTGCCCAGGCTGTCCTCCTACCTCAGCCTCCCGAGTCAGTGGGATCAGGGCATGTGGCCAGTTTAGCTTTTAGGTGCCTGTAATATGTCTTCCTTCCCATGCAGGTACCTTCACTTACTGGACGGGAAGGAGAATTACCCTTGTCTCATGGACGCAGACGGAGATGTGATTTCTTTCCCACCAATAACGAACAGTGAGAAGACAAAGGTAGGACGGCACACCGGGATGTGGGTGTCTTCCTGGCAGCTCCGGCACCCTGTGGAGATGCAGACCACCAGGCACAGGCCCGCCCTCCCTGGAGCTGCGGGCTGCCTTGGCGGTGGGAGGCTGGGGCGTGGTTCAGGGCCGCTCTGCTCTACAGCTCTCTCCTCAATGCCGTGCCGGTTGCTGGCGTCTGCTCTGGATAACTCTGTTCTTTTCTGGAATCTGACCTTTTAAGATTAAGAAGACGACTAGTGATCTGTTCTTGGAAGTGACCAGTGCCACTAGTCTGCAGATTTGCAAAGATGTCATGGACACCCTCATTCTGGTGAGCCCTGCCCAGCCTCGGGAGAGCGTCACTGTCCGTCCTTGCACAGCTGCCTGCAGGGGCCCAGTGGCCTGGGCCACCTCTCATCACTTTTTCCTTTTCAGAAAATGGCAGAAATGAACAAATACACTTCAGAAAATAAAGAGGAAGGATCACTCTCGGATACGGAAGCTGATGGAATTTCTGGACAACTCTCAGATCCTCAAGTGAATCCTGGTGCTGGGAAGGATGGACAGTCCCCCCTGGTGGTGGAGCAGGTCCGCGTGGTGGACCTGGAGGGGAGCTTAAAGGTGGTGTACCCGTCCAAGGCTGACCTGGCTGCAGCTCCTCCCCATGTTACCGTCCTTCGCTGACAGGCCAAACTGGGCTCAGGCCAGCAGGCCATCCGTCGCGTGCGCCTGGTTTTACGGGGTTTGTGAGTGACGCTAAGTTATTCAGTATGTTCCCACCTCCGTGTTGTTAGGTGTGTCTTTGTTTGCTTTATCCAGTGATTCTGTTGTAAAGTGATGGCTGTGCTGTCTTCACAACACTAAACTGATGTTGCAGGTTTTCATGGAATTGTTCAAATACCAGAAGTAGCTACTCAGCATGTTCCAAATCATGCAGGCCCACTGAGACCCTGGGATTGGTGTGAGTATGCCAAAGTCAGTTGGACAGCTGGTGAACATGCGTTTAACTGAACTGCAGTTATTTTTCTATGATGTAGTCTTTCTAAGTCATTTTGGGCCAGTAGTGCCAGAATGTCATGTTTTCCAGCTTACATGACTTTAATCTTTTTATTTAAAGGGAAAAAAAAAAGTTTTTTAAACACAAATTTAGAACAAGCAGTGTTTTTTCTCAGTGTTGGCTGGTGGGGCGCCTGACGGCTGTGAGCTGTACGGGACCTTCAGGATCAGCAGCCCCAGGTCTGTGGGCTCTGCACAGCTGGGACGGGAAAGGTGGGGTGAATGGGGGCTGGTCATCGTTGGCGCAGCAGCACCACAGCTATGGACAGCTGTCATACCTAGCCCTAGAGGAATGTGGGGCGTGGGTGGGCATATAGGACAGCTCTGTTCATGAGCTGTCAGTGGTCCCTGGCCTGCTAAAGGGCATGGGCGGTGACCAGAGAAGGCATCATAAAGTTCTAGCGTCGGATGAGTGGCTTCCCGTGTCGGGCCTTCAGGTGGGTTCCGTTGTGAAGGCTGTTTCGTGTGTGGGTTTATTGCCTGGCACATGCACACCCTCCCTGGAGCCAGAGTGCTTGGTCCAGAGGTCCTGTGGCCTCACTGCTCGGTTCTGGCTAAGGAGCAGCACCTGACACATCAGCATCTTATTTCATGATACTTCTTTTGGTAGCCTTTGACATAAGGGACAGTTTTTCTCTCACGGAGGAGACTGGTGATTTTTTTGGAGGATTTGTAGGAAACCCAAGGTCCCTCCAGGTGGGTTCCTAACAAAGGTGGGTGGCTCCAGAGCTTAGAGGCATGAGCTGGCTGCCTACAGCTCCAGCCCAGCTGGCCAGTCCACCAGGCTCAGGCTAATCCAGTGGCCAGGCTGGCTACAGTGGGCTTGCAGACCATAGCTTTCCCTTGGGGCCTGTCCTCCCAAAGCCTGTGTCACACCTGTGTCAGTGGCCCTGCATGTGGTCTCATGAGTCGCTGTCAGGCCATCAAGGCTGCTGGGGTGTGTTTAGCAAGGGTTCTGACCTGCTAGGAGGCCCAGGAGAGCTGCCTTGACTCCCCAGGCTGCTGAGGACGCAGCCGAGTACCATGAGGTTTGGAGTGTTCAGAGGAAGTTTGTCCGACACCGTCCTTGCCTGGCCATCTCTAATAAAACATTTCCTAAGAAATGCCTCCATCCGTGCTCAGTGACCCTCTACTACTGCTTCCAGAGGCTGTTTGTGGAGGTGCATAAAATCCACGCTAGCCCACAGTGGCCCACATGGGGAATCTGGGAACCAGGGCCCATGCAGTTGCTCCTGGCTGTCCCCACCCATATCTGGACCCCACTGGGGCTCGCCCAGGCAGCCACTCACTCGGGCCAGTCCAGCAGATCTTCCAGGAGGGGGCAGAGGGACTGCTCTGCAGGGTCCTGTCATGCTCTCCCAACCCTCCGAGGACCATAAAGCCCCAGAACCCAAATTCATGACCACAAGGGTCAGGGAGGGCCTGGAGCCTGGGGTCACTTATGGAGGTGGCCCGGTGAGGCTGTGGGCACCAGGGTGCTGGCTGGAGTCCCTAGGCTGAGTGTCAGGGCTGCCAGAGGGTGAGCTAGGGCCATGGGACTGGCTTTGGGGCGCAGGGCTGGGCCAGCTAGCGAAGCCCCGTTGCTGCCCTTCCTTTGGTTCCCAGTTGGTCCCCTGTTGCAAGGAAGGCACCTGCCCATGGGCTGTCCCTCCTGGCACCATCTGCACACTACTCCTGCCCAGGGCCAACAGCCCTGGCCCACCCCAGACCTCTGGAGCAGAGTACTGACCCAGCAGCCTGTGCCCCTTGCCACAGGGCTCCAGGGAGAGCCTCCAGCTGCTGCCTCTCCTCCCCAGCGTGCAGCCAGGCAGCACTGGGTATGGCCGGGGGTCTCTTGGAGCTGAGGCCCAGGGCCACTGGAGTGGACTGCTGCAGGCTCCCGTCGGAGGGTCATTGCCTGGAGAGGCCTGTGGAAGAGCCTCACCCGTTCCTCAGAGCCCTAGCAAGGGGCATGGGAGAGCAGGGAGAGCAGGGAGACCAGCTGCACCGGCCCTCCCCAAAGCTGGGCAAGGTCTCCCTCCTGCCCAGCTTGGCCGGGCCCCTCTGGTTTTAGGAGTTTGGGGGGTGGGGGGTCCAGCCTGGAGGTTGGCAGGGCCTCAGCCTTCTGATTCCCTGACCACAAGCCCGTAGGTGCTCATTGTCTCCCACTCTCAGCCCGGGCAGGTGAGACCACTTTCCTGCAGGGACGCTTCTGGCAGCGCCCTTGGTGGCACACACTGGCAGAGCACACAGCCCAGGAAGCAGGAGCAGGTACCAGGAGGGACGAAGGTTCTCAAGGTGGGCAGCAGGCCCCAGAGCAGCCGGGGCCTGGCCCATGTGTCAGGTGGACGGAATAGGACCAGCCACATCCTGGGCTCAGGCCTGCCCCTGTGTCCCTACAAGAGGATTCATCCAGGACGGGACACATTTCAAGGCCAAGAGCCAGACAGGATGGTAGCAAGAAGGCGCAGCAAGAGAAGCAGGTCCTCCACACAGTCCTGGCCGCGAGTCATGCCTGGCCAGGCGGTGCCTCCTGCTGTTGGTCCAGCAGACCTGTGATGACTGCTCTGTGCCAGGTTCCTGGCCACACCAAGCACTGGAAAGAAGCAGGCCCTGCTGGGGCGAAGCCAGCCGGTGGGCACACCACCACCATCCTCCCGCAGCTGCCCTGGGAGCTGGGTTGCCCAACAGGGACCTTGTTTGCTGAGGGGCCCACCCCACTCTACACAGGAAGCCTCTGGGGCTGGTCTCCACCCCTCAGGACAGGTGCACAGGGGGCCACCGTCCTTGTCAGAGCCTCCTTGCAAACCAGGAGTCAGGCCCAGAGAGCACAGGGCCATGCGTCTGCACTTCCCCATGGGAGGACCCCCATGGTCTCTAGAAAGCACCCCCACCCTGGTCTTGACGAGGGAAGCCCTTAGCTAGGGAGGACAGCTGCCCAGGGAACTCTGGGGATTTGGCCAGGCTGACAGGGCCCAGTCTCCAGCTCTGTGTGCCCCTGGGTAGCTGCCTGTGAGGGACGTGGCCCATGTGCTGGGGCCGCGTGGCACATGCATCCTCAGCTGTCCACCTGGGCACTCCTGGGTGGGGTCCGTGACAACCATGCACACTAGCATTTTCCTATGCCAGGATGCCTATGAGCTGGCTCTGCCCCTAGGTCTGTGTCCCTGTGCCTTCAGGTCCATGTCCACGAAGGGTTCTGTCCCTCCAAGCCCAAGATCCCCGGCGTTTGTGGTCAGCCTGGCTGCGAGGGGGGCAGCCTTTATTTGCACTTGTGCACGTAGTAGCCTGTGACATAGCCCAGGATGAAGGTGACCCAGAAGAGGGCCACTCCGCCCAGCACCTTCATGGCAATCCCCAGCCTGCCTGAGCACAGCTTCTGGGCGACCCTAGGGTGAGAACCACTGGGAGGTGAGCCCCAGGCCAGCCCTGGAGGGGCCACCCAAGCGAGCTGGGGGAGGGAGGGGAGGAGGACCTGAGGGAGGGTGGCCAGCGTCAGGAGGGCCAGGTGAAGGGAGGCCTGGGTACTCTGCTAAAGCCGGGAGATGCCCCATCCCAAGAGCCCACCCAGTGGAAGGCCCAGGGCTGTGGGCACGTGAATGGACAGGTGGGAGGAGCCTTCTCCCAGAGCCTCTCACCTCCTGCCACAGGAGGCCTCTTCTGTGCTGGACACAGCAGCCATGCTGACCTCGTCCCTGCTGCTGTCGTCCCACTTGCTGTAGTGGACACTGCTCTCGTGGGGCTGCATGCTGTGGTGCCTAAGCTGGGCCGGAGGCGCACAGCCCCTGCAGGGCAGTGGCCAGGCCTTGTCTGGGCTGCAGTTAGGGATGGTCTTTCTGCAGGGAGGAGGGACACTAGATGGGCTGGTCTCACCTGACCTGTCAGGGTAGTTTAGTAACTTGCCCAGGGTCACATGGGGAGGGCTAGGCCAAGCAGGAATTCCAACCCAGGAGGCTGAGAGGCTGCCCAGCCCTGCCCTCAGGAATGTGGGCCCTGTTTCCTCCCAGAAGGGCCCCCTGGGGCGTTGGGGCCTGGCCTCCACAGTGCATTTATCAAGGGAGACTTAGCACAGCTGGTGCTGCCCTCAGGGATGAGGACACCACGGCCAGCTCCTGTGGCTGATAACTGTCTCCCAGCCCTGCCAGATAAGGCCCCAGGGCTGACCTCTGGAGAGGCTGGCTAGGAAAGGGATGGAGCAGGGGCCGTGGCTGGTACAGCCAGGCTGTGGGGGAGGAGGCCTAGTAGCCTCAGGCAGGACAGCAGCTGTGTCCTCTGCCTTCCCCCACCCTCTGCCAGGCTTGGGGGGTCCAGGGGCTCCAAGAGCCCTGGCAGGTCGGAGGGTGGAGGGACGGCCGGGTGCTGGAGCAGGCCACCCAGCTCCTGCGGCTCTGCCTTCTGCAGGACTGTCTTGCCCTCCAGCACTCAGCCCCGTCCTGTGCCCCAGAGACAGGGAGGAGGGCTGGGACTGAAGTGGGGGGCCTGCAGGCACTTCACAGAGCACCCGGCTGGCCTCTGGCCTGCTCTGACCTTCTGTTACCTACCTAAGCGGGGTGCTAGGTAACCTGGGTGCACAGCAGCTGAGGGCCCTACAGTGGGAATGCTCAACCTTCTCTGGGCTGCCCTGCTGTCCTTAGGCTGCTGTCCCATGAGGAGTCAGCCCCAAGCCTCGGAATACCCAGCTGTTCAGTCCCCAAAGCCACCAAGCCTTCAGGTGGGAACTCTGCTGGGGCTGACGCTCAGACCCACAGGGGCCAGATGTCACTGGAGTGCCAGTTCTGCTTTCTGAAATGTGTCAGGCAGAGGGGTTGTGGTCCTACGCTCATGCCTTACTCCTAGTGGGCAGAATCAGTCTTGTTTCAGGCAGCCATGTTCTTGCTCCAGCCCCAGATGTCATGAGCACATCTGGGTTGATCAGCTTAACAGCCCTGGTCGCCAGGGGCAGGCAAAATGCTGGGGGGGGGGGGGGGGGGGGGGCTTTTGCTTTTGTGAAATTAACAGCCATCTTCTTCCTCCCTTGATGTGATGGCTGGAGCTGTAGCAGCTACCCTGCAACACTAGCAGGGAGAGTGCTACCTCCACAGCCACCCCACCTGCCCACTCAGGCTTCTCTGGGTGCCCAGAAGAGTGCACACACACACACCCAACCACCCCAGCAGTAGATTCCATCCTGGAATAGTAGGATCCTGTTATTTGCTGACTGGTGCAGGACACGTGGCTCCCAGGTCATCTTGACTGGACACAGCCACCAGCTGCCGATAGGCGGGGTTCTGGAGGGCTTCCCTCACTGGGTGTCTGTCCCCACAGGCACAGGGAGAGCCAGAGAAGCCTATCAGGGGCCTCTGTCAAGCCCTGGGGCCTCAAGAGGTTCCACCAGCTGGTGGGGCAGGAGCGAGCACAGGAAGTCCTCCGTGCAGCACCTGCAAAAGTTAGACTGGTCCCCCAAAGCACCTCTGAAGACCCCACACTTACAAAGGGCACGTCCTGGTGGGGCTGAAGCCTCTTGGGTACAAAAAACTGGTCAGGGCCTGGCCAGTGGTTCCCACCTCTGGGTGCGAGTTGATGTGTCCAGCCTTAAATAAAACAGAGAAGAGGAGAGGGACCCTGCTAGGGACCTCAAGGGACCCTGTCCCTGAAGTTGTCCCCAAGCGCTACCAAGAGCTGGGCAGGGGTTGAGGCCCGACAGACAGTCCGCGGTGGGGCCAGGTCTGCCCTCCACGTGCACAGCGATCCTCAGGCCAGGGAGGCCGAGGCCGAGGCCTTGGAGGGCCTCGGAGGGCCGGGGGCGCGCAGTCAGGCCCGCTCCCTCCCTCGTCCGCACCGGGCTCTGCAACTTGATCCCCCACGTCTCACCTGCGCCCGGCACCAGGGCTGCTGCGCGCTCGGCGGGAGGCTTCTCGGCCTGGCCGGGGCGGGGCGGGGCCGAGTCCAGAGGGGCGGGCCGGGAGGGGCGGAGCCGAGCCCAGAGGGGCGGGCCGGGAGGGGCGGACGTGGGAGAGGCGGAGCCGAGCCCAGGGGGGGGGGCCGGGAGGGGCGGAGCCGAGTCCGCCCCCGAGTCGGCCAGTTCCTGTGGTGTAGGACTCTAGCAGCTGGTGTCCAGCCTGGGCGGACGGGGGCGGACAGGAGGGGCAGGGGCAGGGCAGGAGTAGACTCCCACCATCAGCTCCTGGGTTGGCTCATCGCGAAGCCCACGCCCATTCACCCCTTCCGCCCAAGAGTGTGAGGGGCGGGCCGGGAGGGGCGGAGCCGAGTCCAGAGGGGCGGGCCGGGAGGGGCGGAGCCGAGTCCAGAGGGGCGGGCCGGGAGGGGCGGAGCCGAGCCCAGAGGGGCGGGCCGGGAGGGGCGGACGTGGGAGGGGCTCACGTCGGGCTCTTGCTGCGCCGCCGCAGAGGGCACCTGGTCCTCCCGCGGCCCGGCGGCCTCCCGAAACCAGAAGTCCAGGAGCGGAGGGATGGGAGGAGTTCTAAAGCCCCCACCCCAGCCACCAAGGAAGTGGCCCAGACACCTGCGCCCATGGAGATAGCAGGCCCTTGATGGCTGAGAAGTGGGTGCTACAGAGAAGGGGAGGGGTCAGCCTGAGGGCAGGAGGCGCGGGGGGGGGGGGGGGGGGGGCTTGCTTAGTGTGAGCCTCCCCAAGAAGGTCCTAGGGGTGAGTGCTGGCGTGCGGACCATGAGCCCAGGGTGGAGGAGACTAGCCACACGGGGCAGCAGGGAAGGAAGAGAGGAGACCAAGGCTGGCACCAGGGTTTAATTCTGAATCAGAGCAGGTACCCGCCCCCCATCCCCGGGTCCTGGCCTCTGAGGGCTCACTGCCCTGGGCCGCTGCTGGGCTTATTTGGAGGTGACCCTCGTGGGCTTGGTGAGCATGATCTCTGACTGCTGCAGCGGGGGCACTCTGACCCCTTTCTGCTTCAGCTGGTGGTAGTAGTCGCTCCTCTCTGAGATGATCCTCTGGACAGGAAGTACATGGGCAGGTGGTCTTCCCTGTTCCCCACCTGGCCTTACAGCCTCTGCCCAGGCCCTGTGGGCTGCTGGACACTGCCCCGTCCTCCCCTGGAGGCTGGCTAGAGCAGTGGTGTGCAAGTGTGTGCAACAACCTCTGCTGGTGCCCTCGGCCAGTTCCTGTGGTGTAGGACTCTAGCAGCTGGTGTCCAGCCTGGGCGGACGGGGGCGGACAGGAGGGGCAGGGGCAGGGCAGGAGTAGACTCCCACCATCAGCTCCTGGGTTGGCTCATCGCGAAGCCCACGCCCATTCACCCCTTCCACCCAAGAGTGTGAGGAGCCCAGCCTCCCAGAGACTAGAAGGGACATCTGTCTCTCAGGTCCTTTCTGTCTGTGTAGCACTGGGTCAAGGGAAAGTCCCTGTCCCCCTCCCAGCCCTCCTCGGCCCTGGCTGTCAGCACATCAGGCCCTGGGTGCTCCCTCCCCGACCAACAGGAGCCAGGCCACTGACCTCTCCCCTCTATTCCTGCTTACAGCAGCATTACTGACCAGACCCCCCACACTGCAGAGGCAGAGGACCTGGCCGCTGGGACGCATGGGTGTGTGCTGGGCTCAAAGGGCAACACCGTGGAGGAGCTATGGGTGTTGGGAACAGAAGTGGCTGTGAGTGAGAAGTGACCCCCAGCTCAGCCTCGGGTGCTCAGAGACCCCAGAGCTCTGGGTCCCACCGTATCCTGAAGGTGGGGGTGCACTTCCCCGTTACAGAGCGAAGCCCCAGTGGCCCAGGGAGCCCAAGAGTGGCCCACAGCCTGGCCACCACTGAGTGGGTGGTGACTGCTCCAGCCAATGCACCGCAGCCTGCATTACTTCTGCTGCAGCCCCTGCCCCTCTGAGCCCCTGCTTAGGGGCCTCAAGTCAGTGAGCTTCAAGGCTGAGGCTGGCAGGGAGAGGGTCCTGGCTCAGAGGTCTGTTCTAGTGTCCAGCAGAAGGGAATCCTCCACCAAGGAGCCTGAGCCAAGCAAAGTGGCCCCGTGATGCAGCAGCTAGACCCTGCGTGTGGTCGTCAGGAGGCGCTGTGGGTGCTGCAGCCACCAGTCACCAATACCCTGCCTCTTTTGGCTGAGAACAGCCCAGACTCACCAGCTCTGTGGCATGGCCCCCCTAGGGAGGGTCTGGTACCCTCTGCTCAGGAAAGCATGGTCCTGGGGCCATGGTGACGGGTGCACAGCCAGGGTGACAGAGCCCCCAAATCCAACCCAGGTTCCTCCCCCCACCCCAGCTGCAGCTCTTGGAGGAAGGAGAGTCAGAGAATACTAGAGAGTACCTGCAGGGCCTCCAGGATGTGGTTGTCAGAGATCTCAGTGGCCAAGGACTTGATCCCGCTGACATTGAAGGTGGCCTGGATGATCTTACTCCTCAGTCTCTCAAGCTGCCACCAGAGGGAGGGTACCATCACTCACTCTTTGCCCCAGAAAGATGCTTTGTGCGTTGGCTGTGCCATGCCCTGAGTCCTACAGGCCAGGAAGGCACGTCCTGCCCTCCCTATGCATGGTGTTAGGAGCTGGAAATGGGCCTGAGGTCACGTGCCTGCCCCAGGTTCAGAGGTACCAGATCAAATCCACGACCCTGGGCAGCCCAGCGTCAAGACCAAAAGTTTCTGCCACTCCAACTTTTTGCCTGTCTTTAAATTGGAAAAAGTAAAACGTGCACTGAGTTAGATATAGTTCAGAGCTGCACACAGCCGCAGCCTCATCTCCTGACCCTGCAGGGGAGCTCCAGCCAGCCCACTCCTGGCCCTCAAGGACACTCTCCAGGAGTCCAGCAGGCCTTCCCCTGAGCATGGTTGGCCCTGGATTTGGGCACTTAACAACTGACCTGGTCTGGGACCCCTCCCCACCAGCACGCATGGCCCTCCTCCTGTTCCTCACGGCCCGAGGCATCGTGCTGTGGAGCAGCCTTCAGCCAGGCCCTGCAGAGGAAGTATTCTGGTCTCTCCCTGCCGTGAGCATCCTGCACGCTGGCAGCCACCGCCCCCATGCCTCCCGCCAGACCAGAATGAGCTGTGCAGCATCCTGCCAGCCTCAGGCAGGGTCCCCAGCTGCAGCTACAAGGGCAACTCCGTGAACCCCTGTGTCCAGAATCCCTGACACTGCAGGATGCCACCGAGAGCCAGGGGCCTGGAGTGCCAGGGAGTGTCATCATGTCTGTTTGCCTGTTGGGCAGTTTAAGCAACAGCCGGAATGTTGTGAGCCCCTGGGCCTCGAGGGGAGGGGGATCCTGCTCTTTCCAACATTTGTACCCCCATTCTATCCCCAGCACCATGCTAGGGGCTAGAGGACCGAGGGGACAAGGGACTTCTCTGTACCAGGAGTACTTCCATTTGTTCAGCACTGTTGGTCATCCAGGGCATGCTCCACGGCAGCACGGTGTCCTGGGGACCCCAGTCTCACAGAATTTTTATCTACACAGCATTCCACACTCTACCAAGTCCTTGTGAGTTGGTAGGTGACAAGGGTGGGGCTGGATTTCTAAAAGAGGTGGAGTGTGAGGGCCTCAGTGGTGCTGTCCAGGCCAATGGGAGAGGCTGGCCTGAACAGGAAGGGAACAGAGTTGGATAGAGTGGACTTGCCTGGAGGGTGGATGGGGAAGGAAACTGTCACTTCAAAAGCCCGTGTGTGTGTGTGTGTGTGTGTGTGTGTGTGTGACCTTTCCTGTTGCTGAGTTTGGATCCTAAATCAAGATGGGCTCTGGGTCCCTCTCTGGCAGGTGCACCCATCCCGTGCTGTGCTCATGACCTCCGGGCTGAGCGCAGCCCCCAGGTGAGACAGCAGGTTCAGGCCCCAGCACCACAGCAGGTGTGGCTCACCCATCCTCCCTGCTTCAGGCCACACCTCTGTGAAGCGAGGACAGTGAGCAGGTCCACTTCACAGCTTTGTTGAACGAGTCAAAGGACGTTAACAGAGCAGTGCTGGCTGGGCCCTCTCCTGCCTGGTTCGCTTACCAAGTCCTTCTGCACCTTCCTAGCCCAACCCAAGGCCCACTCCCTGCTGAGAGAGGCCGCCTGCTCCCTCCTCCGCCACAGCCTAAGCGGCAGCTTTCCCTGGGTCCTGGGATCCCAGGTGGACCCAGGCCCACCCCTGCCCACTTGGTGCACAGTCTCCCTGGGCGGGCCAGGCCTGGGAGGACGGCCGCATACCCTGGACTGGGCGCTCTCCAGGGCCACGCGGGTCGCCTGCTCTGCCTGCCGCACCATCTCATTCCTGCTCTGCAGCTCCTCGTGCAGCTGCTTCCATCGCTGCCGGTGGTCCTGGTCCCGCTCAGTCTGCGTCTGCAGCTCGCCCACCTTGGTGCTCAGCTCCGTGATGGCCAGGTCACGTTTGGTGAGCTCTGCCTCCAGCTCTGACACCCGCTGGGAGGAGCCAGGGAGGACAGGAGTCACCATCCGGCCCAGGTGCTCCCGTCTGGTCCCCACTGGTTTTCTCCAACAGCTGGAGACGTCGGCCTGCTTCCTCCCTCCCACCCCAGAGCCAGCCATCGCAAGGGCCACCCCCCCCCCCCCCCCCCCCCCCACCCCCCCACCCCCCATGCAGATCGGAGGCCTGGGGCGTGTGGGGTGGTGCTGCCTGAATAAAGAGGCCCAGGCTCGGCCAACCAAGAGCAAGGACAAGCCCCCCGGCCCGCCCTTCCACACCACCCAGGCTGGCACCTCTCGGAGGACAAGGTTGTCCTTCTGGATGAGCCCCATCATCTCCTGGTGCTTCTTCTCTTCCCGGAGGCTGGAGAACTGGAAGGCAGACAGAGGCTTGGCCTGGGATGCTCGGGCCGAGGGGAGAGGCGGAGCCCTGGCTCCCGCTGCCTCCTTCCCCAGCTCCCTAAAGCGACAGAGGAGGAGGAAGCGCCTGAGAGCACCTGAGAGGCCTGGCGGTGTCGACTTGCGGGACCTAAGCCGCCCACAGGGCGAACCGCAAACTTCCCGGCTCACCCACAAGCTCCTAGGCTTCAGGAAGGCAGCGGCCCCTAGGCTGGGACTAGTTACTTCAGAAACTCAGCCCCACCCCTGTTCCCAGCCTCAAGGGGCCAGGTTCCTACCTTCATCCACCCTGACAGAGGCGGCTGGCCTCAGGCTGGAGAGACCACCTGCTTGAGTGGGTGGGAAGTGGTGCAGCGGCTGCCTCCCCCACCCCGCCACAGGGCCTTGGCCTTCTAGAGAAGACCCTGGTGCCTTTCCCAGCTTGCAGGGAAGCTGACCAAACCAAAAGCACGACCTGAAAGGACTCTGCCCTTCGAAGCTCCCCGAGGGACACCACTCTGCCAGAGAAGCCTCAGAGAAAACAAGCAGCAGAAAGATCCGGAACCGAGGGCAGGAGGGCCAGCTTTCCTGACGGCCACCGAGGCCTGGGAGTGGGCCAAGAGAGGCCCGGACACCCGGCCAAGGGGCAGCTCCGGCCCTCCACTGCTGGAGTGGCACCCAGAGGAGACGGGTCGCCAGCCTGGGCCTCCCCGCAGCAGCCTGGGCTGGAAGGCCACAGGCACAGCATTTGCAGGGCTCAAGGGTGCCGTTTCCCAGCTGGACCTGCGGCCCACCAAGCCATCTGACACCAGAGTGGGACGCAGGCACTCTGTGTCCCCAGGCCTTCTGCCTGCATCCTGCCGGAAAGCCCCGGAGCACCTCTGCACCAGGAAGGAGGGAGATCAAGAAGGAGCACGTGTGGGGGCGGAGGCTCAGCCCTGAGGCTGTTTTCAAAACTCTGGTTTCGGTGACTTGGGGACCAGGAGCCACTCTCCTGGTGACATTGGTGCCAGGCAGAGCTGGCTGGTGTGACAGGATGCTGTTGAGAGGAGAAGGTGGAAAGGGTGCAGGGGAGAGGAAGACCCGAGGGGCAGGTGCTGAGCCTGCCGTCTCAAAACTCGAGATTCCTGAAGAATCAGGGGCGCTTGCGGGCGGCTGCTGGGGGAGGGCAGCGAGAGGCAGGGACTTGCGGGACTAGAAACCTGCGTCTTTAAGAGGTGCCACCGGGAGCTTGGAGAAGAAGAGCTAAGAGCACCCCGCAAGAGCAAGGGGGCTCCGCGCACCACACGCTCTCCGAGCACAGAGGGCCTCGTCCAGGGGGTACCCCGGAAGTGACCCAGGGCACCTGGGGCAAGAGACAGACACATGGTCAGGGCCAGAGGGCAGCAGGGCCACCACTGGACATGTGGGCCCTGGTGGGAATCTCAGCTCTGCCACCATCAGCCACGTGACCCTGGGCCAGTGCTCAGACGCCCCGGGCTGGGAGCCTCCACCAGCCGCCAGACGTGAGCCAACCAGGGCTGGGGGGCCAGGGCGCCCGTGGCTGGGCCAGCGCACAGCCACCTTGTCGGACATGGCCTGCAGCTGCTGCTTCCGCTCCTGCAGTTCCTTCCGCAGAAGCTCCTTCTCCGTGTTGACCTTTCGCAGCTGGGATTCTTGGAACTCCACCTGCCGCTGCAGTGTCGTGATGGTTCCTGCGTGAACACCACGGGACGGTCCGACTGGCGGGGGGACACTCCACGTCCCCGGGTTGCGCCCCCTGCACCCCCTGCCCCGCCCGCCCCCTGGCCGGCTTGCTGGGCCGCGCCACCTGTGGCGAGGGCGTATCTGGTCCTGGTGACCCCCAGCTCGCTCTGGAACTCCACCAGCGTGCGCTCGTACTCCTCCAGCTGGGCCATCAGCTCCTCCTCGAAGGACTCGGTCAGGGAGTAGGCCTTCCTCGGGGGGCTCCCCTCTCCCTCCCGCAGTTCCCAGCTCCGTTCCTCCGATTCCTCCTGGTCCCCGTCCTCTTCCTCGTCCTCTTCCTCCCCCTCAGGGCCCTCCTCCGGCACGGCCCCCATCCTGCCCATGCTGCCCTTTGCCCTGGTCACCGGGGGCCCCTGGTCTTGGCCTTCCTCTTCCCCCTCCCTCTCCCCATCCTCCTCCTCCCCTTCCCCCTCCCCCTCCTCCTCTTCCTCCTCGCTGTGCTCCTTGGCGTGCTCCTCCTGCATTGGGGGAGGGAGAAGAAGGGGGCTGGGCAGGGCACTCACAGGGCACCTCATCCCAGCTGCTGCGGAGCAGCTCACCAGCCAGGCAAGCCCCAGCCCCTGCCCAGCCCCCCCGGCTCAGCGTGGCACCTGCTGTCAGGAGATTGCAGGACCTGTGCCCACGGGGCTAACATGACCCACCCCTCACCTGCACTGGGGACGGCCACCCCCACGTGCCAGGGCCGCACGTGGGCACAGCCTGCCTGGCCCCTTTAGCCCGGACCCCGGCCGCCCTGGAGAAGGGAAGTGCTCCTGCGCTGCCCCGCACCTGCACCCAGCGCTCCTGCTCCTCCTCATCCTTGTAGAGGGACTTCAGGATGCTCAGTACCCCCAGCTTCTGAGCCTCCGAGGGCCGCTCCTGCAGGACACGGCGGGTCCCTGACTGCAGTTGCCCCCACCCAGTCCACGTGGGCGACGGCAGAAGAGGGTGGGGGCACTGGGTGCTCTGTCAGCCCAGCAGGGCAGTGATCGGCAGATGGGCAGTCCCGGGTAGCTGGCAGGGCTCTGGGCCACCGGAAAGTGGCCTAGAGTGACAGGCATGCTCATCTGGAGGAGTTGAGGGGCCAGTGCAGACCAGCACCCCTGACATGGCTCACCTGGGCACTCCACAGCTCACACCCAGTGGCCCTGGAGGGTGGATGGGGAACCCATCTGCCTGGCCCTGCCTTCTGCATGTGGCAGCTCTGAGGAGTCCGGGCGTTTGTCTGTGGTCCGGGCCTCCTCCCCGCCCCAGCATAAGCTCAGGCAGGGTCAAGTCTTGGGAAGATCCAAGGACCCAACACACCTGCCTCATGGGTCCTCTGCCCAGACCTGGCATCGTCTCCACCCCTGTCCCACAGTCCAGGACACTGAGGCCGGGTCAGAGCCGTCCAAAGCCAGAAAGTGGGAGAGGGGCTCACAGGCAGGTCAGGGCGACCCAGGAACCACTGCCTGTGCCACCCACAGCCTGGCGTGGGTCACACCGGCAAGGTGGCCTCCAGCCTGCAGATTTCAGAGGTGGGCTCAGCCTCACTCACATATGAGCTGGGAAGCCACCTGGTAGTGCCACGACTGTCCAGGAGAAGGCAAGTCAAGGGCCCAGCTCACAGCGCTCGCCTCCCACTTCCCACCCCTGCCTAAGTCTCCGCGGGAGTCCAGCCTGTCCACCAGAACCCAAGGCCAGGCCACGCTCCAGGGGGCCTGCCACGTTCCAGCAGGCCTGGGACTGGCCGGGGGCCTGAGGTGGCCAGCCCTGCCACTCACAGCACCCCCTGCTCACCTTCCTATCCGCAGACACCGGTGTCTCTTGGCTCTTGCTTCTGAGGAGGCACTTCAGCTGCCTCCTGAGGACCTCCTTCTCCCTCTGGAGCGCCAGGATCTCCTGGTCTTTCTGCTGGACCTGCGCCTCCAGCTCAGACAGGCGCCGAATCTCCTCTCCCAGCATCAGCAAGGAGTGTTCCTGGGCAGAAAGACAGGCACCTCCATGGGCAGTCAGGGACACAGCTCCTCTCCGCCCGGGAGGAGCAGGGCGGCCACCCAGAGTCCCAGTTCTGAGACCCAGGGCTGCAGCACGTCCCTGCAGCTGGCTCCGTGGCCCATCATCTGGGCGCCTGCCCTGAGAGCAAAGCCTCGTCCAGCTTCCCCCACTGAAATGCAGGAGGCCGGCCTTCCCCCACACTTAGCCAGCGACGCCCGAGCTCCTCGGGGCCCTCAGCCTCCTTCTCAGAATCTCCATTCCTTCAGTTCTTCAAAATCGAAGACAAGAATGAAGATGTCTTCAGGCCAACAGGAGCTGGGAGGGTTTGTCATCAGCAGATCTGAACTTTGGTCAATGATAAAGGAAAGTCTCCAGACAGGGAGAAAATGACCCCAGACAGAATATTCTGGAAGGAAAAAATAACTTGAAACCTTTTTACCATTTGGAAATACAGTGATACGTTTCTATCTAGTGTATGGGCAAAGAAGACATCACGAAGGAAATGACAAAACGATTTGAACCGTGGGAGGGAGCTAAAGCTGTGATCAAGGTCAAATTTATAGCCTTAAAATGCATGTATTAGGGCGAAAATGGGAGATCCACGATCCCAGTACCCAACACAGGAATTGAGAACAGGAAATGCAAATTAACCTACAGGAAGGGAAGAAGGAAGCCAACAATCCAGTTAGACACAGGAGGTCGGGGGGAAGAACTCAGCACACTGGGCAACATTTGACAGGCGTGTGCCAATCATCTGTGCTATTCCTACAACTTTCCTTTCTGTCTGAAGTAGACATTAGAGGGGGGAATAATAATGCAGATTCACATTGTGTTGTTCTGGCCCCGGTGGTTTTAGACACATGGCACGTGTCTGAAATTAGCCCAGTGACAACTGGTAAGAGCGCTGATCTCCTCTTGGGCTGCCAGGTTTGCACAGAGTAGCTTGCTGGTGCAGGTGACTCCCACCACCAAATGAGAGTAGCTCGTCTAAGACAGATAGGAAGAGAGAACAGCAACCCTAATGCTACCATTTGTGCTCCTGGAGGCAACCCAGCCTGCAGCCCTTCCCCTGGGTGGTTCACATGCATTATCTGGTAAATCCCACTGTTGGTCCATGATAACAGTGCAGCCAACGGTACTCTACACGTGTCTGTGTGACTCTAGATAATCTATCCTCCGGCCATTTCTCAGAAGTGGAATTGCTATGTCAAAGAGTAGAAACACTTTTTAAATCATGAAAGCTATCATCATTTACAGCTTCAGGGGTAAATGTCACCTGAATATCCTGGACCTGGACTTTCTGGGACTCTTAAGTCCCACGGTGCCTCCACCCAATCTCATCCCCTGGTGCTCCCACAAGCTGCCCAACATCTTATCACTCATTTCCGTACCTTTCCTTAATGCTTCATCAATTCAAAAAAATGAATGATATAAAAATTAAACATACAGCCAGATGCAGTGGACATGTCTACAATCCCATCACCTGGGGAGGCTGAGGCAAGAGGCTCACAAATTCAAGGCCAGCCTCAGCAACTTGGCGAGTGAGACCTTGTCTCAAAATAAAAAGGGCTGGGGATAAGGCTCAATGGTACAGCACCTCCGGGTTCAACCCCCAGTACCAATACATAAATAACTGTGCACGAGAGAAAATTGACAAAACACAGGGCAGATGCTAACAGAAGACTTAAAATGGAGCAGCCTCTAGCACGACTGATGTAGACAAGAGAAGGTGAAAGTTACCACTGTCAGCCTTGAAAAAGAGGCTATCCCTGGAGGCTGAGGCAGAGGATTGCAAGTTTGAGGTCAACTGGGCACCTTGGCAAGACACTGTCTCAAACTTAAAAAAAAAATTAAAGACTGGGGAATGGCTCAGTGGGTAGAACTCTCACCTACTACCATGCCAGACAAAAATGACGGACAATGCTATTCCTGCAGAATCCACGGGGAAGATATCGGTCATCCTTGTATTCTGGCAAAGTCCAAAAGTTACACGAAATAGGCACATTTCTCAAACACACACCCAACCAAAACAGGAGGACAAATGAAATGTGTCTCTTGTAAAGAAATCACATTTGTCATTAAAAAAACCCTCTCCTATAAGAAAGCTCCAGGCACAGATGGCTTCGATGGCAATTCTCTGGAATCTACGGGAGAAGAGAGACCAGTCTTAGGCACAATCTTCCCGAGCCTGGGAGGGTAAAGGGAAAGTGCCCGCGAGCTCACTTTTCAGTGAGACCCTGATACCTTTTGCACCAGAATCCAACAGAGAATCGTAAGACGCGCAAATCATAAGCCAGTCTCTCTCGTGGACATGGATGTCACAAAGAGGACATGGCGGGAATCGAGCTGGGTGCAGATCTGCCTGTTGAGCTGCGGGTGCTGCAGGTGTGATTCAGAAGGCTCCAGAGGGGAGTTTCGGGGTGACAGCTCTGCAGAGCGTTGGGGGTTAAACATGGGGCAGTTCCCCTGGGTGAGGACGGACAGGGGCCAAGGGACCTGTCAGCATCAGATTTGTTGCAACCAAAGAGGGGTCTGGAGATCCTCTGGGGACACACCTGGGGCCTGCCTGCCCTGGCTAAGCAGACCTGGAGGGGAGAGCCTCCTGGGGAGTCAGGACCCAGAGCCAGGGGCATGGGGTCAGTACCTTCTCGTGGATGACCGAGATGTACCAGGGCATCCTCTGTCTCGGGAAGCTCTGGGCTGTGAGTGGGCTGCTGGTGACGGGACTCGGGGTCCGGGGTTCGTCCTCCTTGTGCAGGTGGTTGAGCTCACAGGCGCTCTTACTGAAGGGAATGAGGCGCCCTGGCGGGGCAGAGGAGGAGCAGGCAGGGGCGCTCTTGCCTGGCATGGCGCCCACCCGCAGCCACCTCCCCAGTGACCTGCTCCTGTCTCCTGATTCTGCTGCCATGGTAAAATCTAAGGATCCCCGCATGCTCAGCGTCCACCCACCTCCCCAAGAAGCGGACCTGAGAAGGCAGTGGTGTCCCCAGGGACGCTCTCACGTCCACGCCCGTCCCTGCAGTGCGCACAGGGGGCAGAGAAACCAGAGCTGGGGGTGAGGCCAGGAGGCCCTCCAATGTGGCCCTGTGGCCCCAGGCTGACCCTCCTTGGACCCAGGTTCTCCGTCTCCCCCAGCCCCAGAGGAGCTGGTCACTGTAGACTGTTTCCTCAAGTCCAGGCAAGAGGGAAGCATCTTAGTGGGGATTTCGTCTTTTGGCAAATGAGAGCCTGTTCCATCTGTGCACATGTGCCTTACGGGTCTCTCTCCAAGAATGGGGTGTCCCGTGGGCCCCTCAGTGAGGCCCATGAGGCCTGTCCACCCAGGTTGGGGACAAAATCTTTCAACTGCAGTTTTGCCAAAGACAAGGAACTGCTCTCCTGGAAACCGCAGTGTCCACTCTTGATGAAAGCCTGTCTGGGAGGTCATCTCCCAGAGCCCCTGAGCAGCAGGCGGTCCTGGGGAGGATCAGGCCCAGCAGGGCAGGCAGGGGCTCTGGGCTCCTTACTGTCCACTCCCGTGTCCAAGCCCCGCCTGTCCAGGAGCGGGTCCTCCATCATCCTCCAGGTCTCAGGGCTGACGCACACCTCCCTGGGCAGACCGACCACAGTGCCTGAACCTGCAGCGTGGGGGGTGCCGGGTGTGACCCAGACGGCCTCGTCTCCCCAAGGCCCAGGCAGAGCCCACGGTGGTGCCTGATGGTTGACCACGGGGCAGGGTAAAGGTGACTTGGTGGGAGGGGTTGACCAGAGGTGGGTTCTGGCCTCCGCCACCACAGCTGTCAAGTGCACGCCAGCGGCAGCGCCCAGGGAGCAGAACGTCGAGCACACCCACGCCCAGGAGGGCACCCTCAGCCCCAGAGACCTGCCCACCTCAGGGTTCCTCTCACTGGGGAGGGGAAACAACACCCAGGAGGAGGAACTGCTACTTGTGCCCAGCTGCCAGCTGAGACCATGGACAGTCCCCCAGGGCTGGTCACAGGCACGGAGCCTCAAGCCCACCCTCCTGAAGGATAGCAAGGGAGGCTGCACACGCCCAGGTCGGGAGCAGGGGGCGGGGGTGAAGCCTGGCTCTGACCACTGAGCTGCCAGCTGTCCTCTGAGCCTCGCACCCTGCATCAGAACACGGGGACTTGGACAGGACAGCCGCTGGGCTCCACCACGGTGATTGCTCCTAATGCGCTACCTGTGGTCTCCTGGGCCACTTTGTTGACAGTCCCACAGCCCCAGCCTCCTCCCTGTCCCCTGTCCACAGCGTTGGGGACCCTGGCTCATGAGAGCAGAGCAGGAAGGTGGGAGACAGGTGGGAAGGAAAACCGGCCCAGAAGAGTCCTCGACCCTCCTCCCCACCCCCTCAGTCTCGGCGTGGCCCCAGCGTGGGCACCCTGTGCCAGAGTGGAGTCTGAAAGCAGCCGCCAAGGCCCCACGCAGGCTGAAGGGTGGCAGGGGAAGGGGCGGCTTTCACCAGGGCCCTGGCTGGGGTTCTTACCCAGTTGGGATATAGATGTGGCCCTGGTGCTAAACTGGGGGCAGCCAGGCCGCCTGAGAAACGCCCTCCTCATTTCCTCCGTTTCGGACACAAAGCCATCAGGGCTGTCCGTGTCCTTGAGGTCACTCTGGCAAAATAGGAAACATGAGGCAGTCAGTGAGAGAGAAGACCCAGGAGGCTGCTCCCATTGCTGAGTGAGGGGCCCCGCCTGGTGCCCACTGCGTCCGTCTGCCCTTCCCGGCTACCTAGGTCACAGCAAAAGCCATGCAGACCCCCAACGGAAGCAGCCCGGGCTGAGCCCTGGGCACGTCTAGGAAGCGCCAAGCCTGCTTCAGGCTCTGCCAGCACAGGAGGCCACTGGCCCTTCTGCTGACGCCCCTTCCCATGTCCCATGCTCCCCCTTCACCCTCCTCTTCAAGATGCTCCTAAGGGAGTCTCAAGGCCTGGGTTGGGTTCCTGCTCTGGGCTTGGCTGGCCAGAGGAAGTGGGAGCCAGGCTACAGAGGGGAGCCAGCCTGACCCAGCTACTGAGCTCAGGATTGGAGAGAGCAGGCCCCTCGCCAAGCTGCCTGGAATCTGCCTGTGGACACCCACCACCAACACATCTGTGGAGTGCTGTCAGCTGACGGCTACGCGGGGCCTGGCGGCAAGTGGGAGGGGGGTCAGTCCAAGGTGGCTGAGCTCCTGCAGCCCTGGTCCTCCTGCCCGGGCCCGTACCATCTTCCGGTAGTAGCGGCTGATGGCCTGGGCCGACCTGCTGAGGCTGTGCGGGTTTCGGAGCTGTCTCCCTTCTGGGTTCTGGGTGTCACGGCTGGACACATTCTGCAGGATCATGAGGCCCTTGGCGAGGGGGTGAGGCATCAAACTGCACCTCGTCATCGTGCCCTCTTTCTTAGGTAGCATCAGGAAGGGGGACAGAACTTCCCAAGTTCGCCCGGAGTCAGAACGCTGGCCTGCTGCTCCTGGGGACCCTCCTCAGTCCCGCTCGGGGTGTCCAGGGGAATCTGACCTTGAGCGGGGACCCGCTGCCTGGGGCGGACCCTGGGAGCCATGTGTGGCATCACAGATGTCTCCATAGAAACAGGGCAGGTCACATCTGCCTCCATTTTCTGCAATTAGGAAAGGGACCTGAGAAGGGGAGCTGGGGAGTGGTCGGCAGGGCGTCCCAAGGTGTGGCAGTGCAGGGGTGGCCTCAGGCCAGCCGCCTGCACCCCCTCCTGGTTTGATTTTGAAAACCTTCATCCTCGTTTTTTTAAAATGTACTTTTATTGGTGCCTTAGAGCCAGACCTTCAGGTGGCCTCGCCAGGATACATTCCCAGGGCACGCACCGTGGTGCGGTCAGCTTCCCTCCCGCGTCCTCCCTCGGCTCCATCACCCCTGCTGCCCCGTATTTAAACCTGACTCTGCATCAGGGGCCCCAATGAAAAGGTTGATATCCTTGGTGAAAAGCCACCATCTGGAGGCATTTCTAACGCCTGGGGTGTGATTATCGTTTTTTAATAGAGCGGGACGGAGGGAAAGGCCTCTTCCAGAGAAAGGCTCACTCACTGTTCTTTCTGGAAGCAGAACCCTTCCAGTCTGCACCGTGCTCAGGTTGAGAGCCCTGTGCTGGCCACCACCCGGGGCTGGGGCTGGTCCTGGGGGTGAGGAGGCGGGGCCTCTCTGCGCTTTCCAAGTTCCCTAACACTTAGCGGCTGAGAATCAGTTCAGGTGTTCATCGGCCAGCAGGACATCTTCAGAGAAATGTCCATCTCAGCCCTTTGCCTATTATTGATTGTGTTTTTGAGTGGGGTTTTTGAGTCTTGGAGTTTTAATATATTCTGGATACGAATCCTGTATCAGATGATCAGCAAATACTCTCTCTCATTCTGTGGGTTTTCTTCTTATTCTATCGATTTTATTCTTTGAAGGATATTTTTTTCTAACTTTGATGAAGCCTGATGTATCTGTTTTTGATCTGTCGCCTGGTGTCCTAGCTGAGAAACCGTTGGTTGTGAACCTTTTTTTGCCCCGTGGGTTCTTCTAAGATCTGTGTGGTTTAGCTCTGGGTCGAGTTCCTTGATCTATTTGGGTCAGGCTCAGGCTCTGCGTGTGGTACGGGCTCCCAACTTCCTTCATCGTACGTGGGGTCCAGCTTCCCAGCGTCATTTATCCAGAGGACTACCCTGCCACCCAGTGAAAGGACCCAGCAACTGCCCAGCCAACAGGTGCACATTGCATCTGGACTTTCTGAGGCTGGGCCGGGCTGGGCCAGCACCGCTCTGTTGTGCTTCCCAGGAGCTTTGACATCAGGGGGCGATTCCTCCAGCTCTTTTCTTTTTCAAGACTGCTTTCGGGCCGTGGCCACACCTGTGATCCCAGTGGCTGGGAGGCTGAGTCAGGAAGATCTCAGAGTTCAAAGCCAGCCTCAGCAACTTAGCAAGGCACTAAACAACTCAGTGAGACCTTGTTTCTAAATTTTTTTTTTTTAAAAAAGCTGGGGATGTAGCTCAGTGGTTAAGTGTTCCTAGGTTCAATCCAGAGAGAGAGAGAGAGAGAGAGACGGCTCTGTCTGTTTGGCACACTTGAGACTCTGAATTTTGGGGTAAAATACTGTCATTGTTTAAAACCTGTAGCCAGGTGTGGTGGCACACCCGTCATCCCAGCAACTCTGGAGGTGGAGGCAGGAGGATCACAAATTCAAGGCCAGCCTTAGCAATTTAGTGAGACTCTGGGGAATATATAGCTTTAGTAGTAGAGCACCCCTGGGTTCAATCCCTGGTAAAAAAATAAAATATAAAACAACCCTTACAATCCCAAGCTCTTGGACACAGAGTTTGGGATTGCAAAAATTACTGAATTATGTTAGAGAGTCTCTAAGTCCAGGAAAAGTTTCCTATAACCACTCTCCCAATTGAGAGGAGGTGCCGCCCATGGAGTTCACTGGAGCACTCAGGCAGTATGGTCATTCCACCTTCTGGAATGTACGAGTCAGTCAGTCCATAGAGACGGGAAGAGGCTGGTGGTGCCAGAAGGGGCAGGTGGGCAGGCCTTGGTGGGTAAGCCTTGGTGGGCAGGGGCAGGGGCTTCGAGGCTGGTGTGGAGCCAGGTGCTGGGGAAAGGACCCCTGTCCACTGCCTGCCCTCTCTGGGCGTCCGTCCCCTGCACCTGGAGGTCATGCACCTGGAGGTTCCCACCTCCCTCGGTGAACCCAAGGGGCTCAGATGGCTGAAGGTTACTGTTTCTCTTAATTATTTCAAAGATAGAAATTGGTTGGAAAAGCCAGATTGTGCAATCAGGGAAGGCCTGTGTGTGGGGTTGACCCACCTGGAGACAAGCAGCCTAAAGGGCACGGGGCGGGAGGCTGGCTGGACCCGGTGCCTTAGGGCCGGGACCTTGCCTGTGCACGTGGCCCCACCTCGGAGACCAGGGTCCCATCCCAGGTCCAGGACCCCCGCGCCCTGTGCTTCCTAAACGGGGGCAGGGTGGTGTGTGCCCGCGGGAGCCCAAGCGGATCACCCCGCAGGTGCCGACTGGCCCCGGCCACCCCCAGGAGACGCCTCAGCTCCTTGGGAGGGGATGTTGCTCGCTGGCTGGAGAAGGTCTCCCGGCCCTGGCCCTGGGGCCCACTGCGCTCGGGGAGCCGCGCCCTTCCCGCACCGGCCCGCAGCCTCCTTGCGCTGGGCGCGTCCCTCTGGGTCCCGCCGCGGCCGGCAAAGGACCGCGCAGCCCTGCCGGGAGCTCACGGGCTCGCACAGGTGGCGATCCCTGCGGCGCAGCCCCCTGAGGCCTCTCCTGGGCACAGACTGCGCTCCGCCCCTGCGGGCGGCCGGCCCTCAGCACCGTTTGGAAAGCTGTGAGCCCTTCCGCGGGATTCTCCGCCTTCTGAGGGGCTGCCGCCTGCACGTCGTGCAGGGCATCTGCTCGGGAGCCAACCCTTGAAGTCCTGAGATGTCCCTTCTCACTGCCTCCTAACTGTGCCCTGCTCCCTGACGCTTTCCTATCCCGTGCAGGGACTTGTAAGAAAAACAAAAGGAGACGAAGCTCAGTGCAGGGGTGTGGGAGCCCCTCCAAATGCACCACCTTTAGTCCTGACGCACCCATAGTCTGGTGAGGTAGTGCCATGTGACTAGGGCTTTTCCCTCCCTCGGACAATAAGGTGTGGCCCTGGGGGTGGCCCTACCTGTAGGCGGCACCCAGAGGGGTGGAGCTACACTCACCTGTTCACTGCCTCATTTGAATGGCTTCTCCCCAATAAAAGGGTTCAGCACGTGCTCCTGTCTCTTTCCGTGGACCCCTAAGGTCAGGAGCCATGACAGGACCCAAAGAAAAAGGTATTTGCCCTGTGTGACCTGGAGTGACCCTGAGTGTTCAGCTGTGGAGGCTGCCATGGGACCTGCCAGCTTTATTTAAGTCCACAGGTTGCATTAGGTCGTTGGCATCGTTAGTGCTTATTGCTCATAGTACACAGTTACTGTTACGTGGGCAGGTGGAGGCACCGTGACCCATCGGTGTTGTCTAAGGAGCGTTCCTTCATTCTTCGAAGCTGAGTGTCTGAGGTCAAGGTTGAGGCTGGTAAGACTCTAGCACAGAGCCTCCTCATGGAGGACGTTGCCACAGCCGGCAGGCCCTGAGCATGGGTCGGTTGTCTTATTAGTTCCCGGGGGAGACCGCAGAATATTCCAATTGTGGAAAACAAAATGCTTGCTATTCCTTGGGAGTGTGCTCACCAGAGGAGATTGGCTGTCTTGTACATGTCCACAGCCAGAGTCCTTACGGGATTGCAGGACTAAGTCTCCCGTTGGTCACCTGGTCACCTGATTCACGGGCTGGCGCTGTGAGTCTCTCCACACTGTTAAAACCGCCTGTCTTCACCCTGTTCTGCAGCCACACCCGGCGCAGTGAGCCCTGCTGCATCATCTGCTCCCCCCGTCCTCTCCTCTCCTCAGCCATCCCAGCAGCACCAGCCTGCCCCGTCCTGCTATGGGCTCCTTGTCCCCTCAATGCCATCAGCTCCACCACCCGTGACATGTTTGCCCCAGAGGGATGAATGCCATCTGTCCCACTAGCCACCTCCCTGGTCCTGCTGTCTGAATGCAGAGGCCACCAGTGTCCTCAACACAGACCAACAAGTGACATTTCAGAAGCGTCCGACAGTGGTGTCCAGAAGTGGCAAGAGCCAGGGCACCGGCTACTGTGGCTGGACAGATCTGGGGTGGAGTGTGGTGACCCAGGGCCATCTGAGTGGAATGGGCGCCAGCCCCTGCCTCTTGCTCTGTGTAGTTGAGCATGTGCTGAGCCAAGCCATGCGAGGGTGGCTCAGAGAGGATGCGGTGTCACCCTCGACCGCCAGCAGTGCGGTTCCAGTCCTCCACCAAGGCTTCTGAACAGCTGTGTGCCAGGCACCGTTCTGGGGGCTGGAGACACGGCTCCCAGTGCAGCAGAGACCCCCACCCTGGGCTGGGGAATCTGATGGAGAGAGAGGTCCGTGGGTCTCAGGACGAGAACCTGCACAGGCTGATGGTGCAGGCTTCTGGGGCAGGTGCTCTGGACAGAGGTCAGCAAGTCCTCCTGGCCCCTGACTAGCCACATGCTGCTAGCTCAGGGCTCAGTAGCCTGGGAGTGCTGGCGGGAGGGCAGTGGACTTGGGGCGGGGGCTAGACCGTGAGGTCCAGGCTTCCGTCCAGTGTGTGTTAGGAGCCCCGGAGGACCTGAGAGGCTGGCTGCTGGCTTTTGTGTGACACCTCCCGCTGCGGAGACAGTGCTCCGGGGCAGCTGAGGATGGAGGGCACTGCAGCAGCGTAGGGTGGCAAGACGCACCTGGCCCGGGATTTGGTGCAGGTGCAGCCTTTGAGTGCGGGGATCAGCTGTCTCCCTCTCTCCCTTCTTCCTCCTTCCT